CCATATAACTGTGAAAGTGAAGAAGGCTTTTTGTATAATGTTTCTAGCGTTTTTGTTTGTAATATATACGTATTTCTAATTCAGAAAGTCGAATCAATTAAAACCCGATGATTAGAAGTTAGATAGCTGCTCATTAATTTATCATAAACATTAAACTTATCTTATCGATGCATATGAAGCAAATAATATATATATACTTAACCGATAAAATTCAACAATAACAACAACAACAAAAAAAAGAGTAAACCCTGAATGATTCAGGGACGAAACAAATTATTTCTTTGGTTTCCACCGTCGTCGTCGCCATCGTTTTCACCGTCGTCGTGGCCATCGAATAACGATTTGTTCTAGGGCAGGCGGCGGACCAAGAACGGCAGCGTAGAGCAAGTGGGTTTCTGGCTCTTCTGGCCTAACTAGAATCCCAACAATAGTGGTGAGGTAGAGTAGCTGCATCTTGGGATCCTCCATCTCAGTGTTCTTCATACGTTGGATCACTTCCACGAGCCTAGCATCAGGCGCTGGGTTTCCTTTCTTCATGTAACAAAAACACCATGTTACCAGAGCAAAGGAAAAGCCGATTATCCCATGTCCATACCTTCCAAATATGAGCAAAAGCATGCTCCATATATAGAGCTACCCAAGCACAAATCATAGTGAGTTCTCCATACAACCAAAAAATCAGGATTTGCTGGCCTGTAAACCCCATCCATAATGCCAAAAGTGGCAAACGCAGTTCCTAAATACTTGGAGACCTCCACAATAGTTGAATTACTACTGTGGTTGCGTAGAATCACGAAAAAGCATTATCTGGGGTTTCTCCTCAAATGATCTTTAGATTTCGTAGGTAAATGACTAGATCGAAATTTATTTCAGAAATATGATATTTAATTTGTGGGCTTTGGATTTGTACAGAAGCATACTAGTTTTAAAAAGTGTGCCTTTGTACAAACTTTGACATACATGTATTGTTCAAAATTTGATTTGTACATGATTTGTACAGAGGTACACTATTTAATCTCGAAACTTAGTTCAAAATTCCAAACGCTTATTTTATTAATATACCAAAAACGGTCCCGACCTGACTTCTATTCCTTATCCAAATCAAATCTCTTTTGTATTACAGAAATCTCGCCACATTTTCATTTTTATCATTTTAATCATCACACAAATCTACTTATCACTTCTGCATTGTTCTCTAGTGACGAGATGGTCGTCAACGTATCTCATTCTTTTCGGTGTTGATGGTTCTCTGAATTTGGTATTTGACGCATTGCTCATCTGATTTTGCAATAACTTGGGTATGATTATTAAGTTCAGATGAGCAATGCGTCAAATACCAAATTAACACCGAAAAGAATGAGATACGTTGACGACCATCTCGCCACTGGAGAACAATGTAGAAGTGATAAGTAGATTTGTGTGATGATTAAAATGAAAATGGGGTAAAATTTCCGTAATACAAAAGAGATTTGATTTGGATAAGGAATAGAAGTCAGGTCGGGACCGTTTTTGGTGTATTTGAAATAAGCGTTTGGAATTTTGAACTAGGTTTCGAGAGAAATTAATTCGGCGTTCTAAATGCTAAGTTACAAAGAGCTCGGTTTTAGAAAGAGAGTTACAAGTAGAAAGAGAGTATAATAAATCTCGAATCCCCTCATAAATGATCTGTGGGAAGTATTTCTAGCGGATATTGAGAAGTAAGGTTTCTCTAAATCGGGGTGATGTAGCAGCTTCAGTGCATCCCGCAGTGACGTTTTGAACCGCACGTTCGAACCACTCTGCGGGTAATGATGATGAGCTCGTCGCCGAGTTATCCACGCAGATAAGTCACTGTAAGTGAATTGCTCACACACATGTCAGTTTATGCTCGATTCTACCCACTGTAAATTGGTATAGTGATGATGACAATTAGACGGGGTTACGCTGACTAGACTCGTTAACCCTAATTTAACATTTTGTCGACTTGGTCAATAGGTTTTAATATTCAAGATAGATCTAGCTAAGTGAGGGTGTTAAGCCCACTTCCAATACAGCCTTCGTGAATCCTCTCCTAATCAAGCATCGCAGATGATGCAGCACTGGCTTGCCATTTCTCCTCCATGATTGTCTTCGTGTGTATCGCTTATTCGCTTTGCTATGGCGATTGATTTTCCTCTCTTTTTCACTATTTCTTTCTTTGGGCTTTTATTATTTGAGCTTCGAATCTTCTTCATATTCATTATATTGTCATTGTAATGGGTTCCAAAATGGGTTCTAAAATGAGCTAGTTCCAAAACACTAAGGTCTGGTTAGGCTTGTATTTTTTTGTTTTTAAGCTTTTAATTGAAGTTAAAAAAAAAAAGTGGGTAACTACTAGTTTACATATTTTACTATTTAGTCCTCCTCCTTTACTACTACTTAACATAATTTGACCCAAAAAAAAATCATTACTCCTCCTCCTTCCCCATTTGCAATTGAAATCGTGAATTGAAAATAAGTTTTGATTTTTAGTCTTTGTTCCTGTTTCTTTTTTCACAGAAGCTTCGATCCCAATTTCTTTTTAAATTGTCAAATCGATATCATAACCGATTTTCCACGCTTATATATATTTACATATTATATATATAAAAAGTGATGATATCTTTTTACAAATATAAAATTTGATTATATAGACAAGAAATACAGTATCTTTTGTTTTTGTTTTCAAAATCGACCATATAATCTTTGCTCGGCATAAAAAAAAGAGCAAGATACTGTATTTCTTGTCTATATCCCCAGAAAATAGCAAGATATGCAACGAGGGAAACAACTCTCATGAAATCATGGGGAATAGGATTTACAAATTAATTAATTAAGAAGGCGATAAACTTGATCTCAACTAATTTAACTTCATCACATCTTTATCTCCCTTGAAAATCGCATTTATCTCCAAATATAAGTTATATTCTTTTTCAACGGGTCTCGGATTTGTAAAAGTAGCTAGTAACTAATAAGTGTTACGCATTAGTTGAGTAAACGTTAGAAATTTCTTTTTCCAGGTACAAAATGGAACGTTTTGACATGTATCACTGTTTATTAGTTAAGTTCCCTCTCAAACCAAAGAAATAGGTAAAATGAAGAAAGAAGATTTATATTATTTTATCTAGGAACTACTCCCTCCATGTTAGGTATACTATAGTGTACATCAAAACGAATAAGAACCACAAAGAAGAAGGAATACAAAAACCGAGAGCAAAGGCGGGAGAAATAGAATAGAATAAGACGATGAGGAAAGAAAAACCTAGGATATGGCTAATGCGATCCATGGTGCCTCCTCTGTAGTGCATTTCTGGAGTGTGTTTGAAGAAGCTGAACCATGAAATTATACCCCCGATGCCTGTAATCCCGTAGAACATACCTAAGACCTCGATATCTGCAGCTATGGGGATTTTGTGATGTCTCACATATACGAACGTAGCAACACTGAAGGCTATCAAAAGGATGTGCATAACCATGTCGTAGATTACTTACTTGCACTTCCTGCACCCACCAGACGTAAATTACATCATTCACACACACATCGATGGTTAATACAAATCATATAAATTTGATTTGTAGCAAAAAAGAGGGAAAAAAACACACCACCATGGATGACCACTTCGACATTCATCGTCAATAACAGGATTCATGACTTAATTTATTGCAATTAGATATCTCCTCTATATTATGTATTTGTCTATTTATATCTAAAGTTTCAGAGCCTCTTCCTAGGTATCTTATCGATGTGGGATAGGTATAAACAAAACAAAAGAGGGTAACAAACATAGTTTCCAATTAATTACTTTTTTTTTTTATCTAACTTTACAACTTTTTTAAACTAATACTTTTCGGGTTGTAACTGACTTTTTTTCTAATTATACAGATAAATATAAATCGTAAATTATATATATATATATTTTTTTTTTTGTTCCCTTGGTCCACTTCAAAAATACGTTCAGTGTAACTAAGATCCGTTAGCGGCCAATGATACCTCCCACGAGAGTCCTCATTTGTTATGTTTGTACACACGTCGCGTTAATGATCTAAAATTATGCAAAACTCTCTCTATGCATCTTTGTGGGCTCTTGCTGAGCCGTCTTCAGTATTAAAAACCCAAATATGTATTTCATACAAAAGTTGATATGTATATTCCATGTATTTTTTTTTTTAACATTATATATCCCATGTATTAAAAGAAGCGGATATGATTCCGAACAAATACTTGAACGTCCGTAGACTGTAGACCTAAGGAAACATTGTCAAACTCGCAACGTGTTGTTGATTCTCGTTGGCGTGTTTTTTTTTTTTTTTTTTTTTCGCAAGACCTGCTTCGAGTTCCCTGGTGTTAATGAGATTTTGCTCACCTGAAGAACTGAAAATAGTTTCGGAACTTTTATTTGGTTTCATGACACTGTCACTGGTCAGCTGAATTATATTTAGGATTAGTGACATTTAAAAACTTTGCGATTTATGGATTTTTAGGAATTAGTCATTCTTGGTCAAATGTGTTAGGACTTAGTTGCTTTGCTGCTGAAAAACTAAACTCAACTGAATTTGGGTATTCTGCAACATAAGTTACAGGTTACTCTGCAAAAATAACCAGCATGGTTCAGAACATTAAAAATTTCACTTCTCGTGGTTTATATATCTGAATTCAAAGCGGCTTCATTCTGAGAGCGTTGTAGTTTTTTGTTGATTTCTTGAATGTATGATGTGAGGAGCGACGTGCCTTAGGCTCAGGCCGAAGATTATAGCAGATTAGATATGATGTGTTGCCTAAAGTTGCATTCTGGAATCAAGGCCATTGAGGAAGAGCCTGAGGACTTGGAGAGTACTGAGTCAATCACTACTTCATGATTACAAGTTAGCGCTGCTCATTAATTTATATCATTAACATAACACATATGTGGGACCCATCAAAGAAAAATATCAGTGGATTCAGCAGAGTTGTTTACTTCTGCTTCCACGTGTTTTCTTTCCTTTTTTTTTTTCCCGTTCACGTCGAGAACTCCTCCTCCCATTTATTTTCCCGAGAAAATAAAACCCGTAAGAAAAAGAATCGTAAATTTCTCCGATTGATTTGTGAAGAGATAAACAGTGAATTAGAAAGAGCAGGAAGCTTAATGGAGTCGCTAGCATCTATTTCTCCTTCCATAAGACTCCCTCCAACCACCACTACTACGATCTCCGTTTCAACTTCCCGATTAGTATTTCGTTCCCACCGTTCTTCTTCCCTTCCCGGCTTGTCCAGCGCCGGGAGACGGATTTCGCTTTCGAGAAGAAGACACTTCGTCAGCTGCAAATCTACTGCCGGCGGCGGAGGAGGATCAGAGAAAGTAGGTGGAGATGAAGACGAAATCGAGGAAGTTGAAAGAGCGCTTCAATTGGACGGTACGATCCCTGGAACTTCCGATGAGTTTGTAAGGCAAGTCTCGTCCCGCGCTTACGACATGCGTCGGAAACTAGAGCAGACGTTTGATTCCACCAGCTATGACGGTATAATCCCGACTCCTTTTTTCGATTACTCAGGTCGGGAAATTGAGGTTTCTATCGCGTTTTTTTTGTGTCTTTTACGCTCTCAGTATCTGCGTTTTCTTGAGGATATTTAGTGATGAAGAAGAATACATATTTTTTCATTTGACTGATACTTCCGTTGATGCACATTTTAATCCTACTCAAACATAGTTTTTCTGAGGTTTGTCCAAGAGATGTTGTTGTTGTACTACTTTGGTTCCTTATAGCATTGTTTTCATTAGCAGGAATCAAATCGTTTTGTTGAGCAATGTCAGAATTTAGTCACTGTGTCAGAATCCAATCTGTATTGATAGCTGTAGTGAGAGTTGCATACTATTTCTTTCTTTTATATCCCTAGGAGAAGAGGGCTTTTAGCTACACTAGGATGAGGAAAAATTTTGCTTTCTGATCTTATCGATGTTTATGAATCATCTAGAAGATTGCAGTCAAATAATTTCTTGTCATCTACAGTTCAAAAATTGATGTTGTTCCTCCAATGATCTGTATCTTACTTGGGATGATTTCTTTCATCAACCCTCTCTCACCGAGTCTTCTCAACGATCTCAGTGTTGGAGTCTAACCCATGGAGAGGAGACTCGAAGCCTGTATATGTACTAACACATAGAGAAAACCAGATCTGCACCATGAAAACAAGAACAAACCACAGGTAACCAACTCATTCCCACTCGAGCTAATTTTATACAGTTTAACTTTTCCTCTCGCTTGCAATGACATTTTCAATTCCTGTATAACAGTGAAGTAGAGAAAGAGCTTGGACTGTTGTTCTCTAAAAGGATCAGCAACAAGACAAAGCAGTCTAGACCTGAAACTAAATTTGATATGCTCGTAGAAGACATTCGAGATGGAGTTCTGGTAAGTTTTCTCAACGAATCACTTCCCACACATTTATTATGAAACCCAAAATTTTTTTAATATGTTTTCTATGTCATAGGTTTTCGAAGATGTGAATGAGGCTGTTCGATACTGTGACCTGTTACAAGGTGGAGGAAAAGGGTGTGAAGGCGTCGCTGAGATTGATGCCTCATCTGTAAGAAGATTAAGTTATAAAGTTCATCATCTCATTTTAGAAACTGTCGCCTTTATATTAAACGTTTGAAATCATCTGCTTTGTTTTTGTGTGAATAGGTCTTTGATCTTTGCCGGAAAACAAGGTCTCTGGCAGTGCTCTTCCGCCGTGGAAGAACACCACCCACACCACAGACGCTGGAGCGTAATTTGGGATCCCGTAAGCGTTCTCTTGAGGACTTAAGGGACGAGAAATAGCTTGCGAAACAAATCATTATTGTACATAACAATTGTCTGCAAAAACTTGTATAAATTACACTGTATGTAATCATGTATATATGAAAAGATGTATTTGACTCGTGTTCCTTGTTGTTCCTCATTATTCTCTTGAATTTGATCACTTTACTTGAAGGCTTTTGAAGTTCAAAGTACTAGTTGGTGTGTGAGCATTTCGGTTTATCACAGTCCAGGGTTTAGTTGAGAGCAAACCTAATTCGCTTTGGCTTGTAAGAGTTTGGAATTGATTTAATATTCAATTGTCAAGCAGAAAGTGCCCTTAACACCGATATTTTGATATATCTAGAAAAGCTTATTCGAGAAAGTTTATTATTACAGCTCCTTTTGTTGTTGTTGTTGGTTTAGGTCTCTAACCGGAATTGGTTTGGGTCTCTAAATGGGGGGCCTTAACTGCGGATAATTTTTTTTCATCACTTGTTGGGCAAGCAATTTGGTGTAACTAGAATTGGCCAAACATGATTTTAGTTGACCAAAAAGGACTACAATATATTAATTTTTTAACGAAGACAATGAGTTTTGTTCACATCAAAATAGATGCTAAAGGCATATGCGTGTGTAGTGTGTATTTATAGCAGTCATGTGTTAGATGTGATGGCATTTTATCCGGATCATTGACTTAGTACATCTTCACACACAAAAACCATAACTTATATTATATGAGCCAATGAATCAGATTCATAGAGTTTTTCGATGAATTGTCAAAACTAAGTTAATTGAATATTTTAAATATTAATTTAGCTTTTGATGGTTGTCAAAAGAGAAATTTGTTTAAGAGATAATCATAACTAGACTTATATAAACAATAGACATGAACTTGTCCCGATGTTTGCTTAGAATTTTTCTTAACTCAATAAAGGGTAAAATCAAAGGTGACTAATTCTTTTAACAGATTGTGGGAAAAAATAAGTGCAAGAATTAACAATAGATATTAATTTTATTCAAAGTAACTAAATCTATTACTATAAAAGTATATCTGCAATATGTAATTTGTTCATTAAATTCAGAAATTTCCCAACATGATTCCTTGGTGAAACTATGCCTAGCCTTCCTAGTCGGTCAGAAAGTATAAAGACCGAAAGAAAAAGTCTGAGAGATAACGGCGACAGAGTAAAAAAGTAAAAAAACTCACTAAAATAGACGGAGGAAAAAGTCATCAACTTGACGGCTAAGTTAACGGCGGGTGATCTACGTTCACACACAAGAGGGACAAAAGAAATAAGCATCATCATCTCCCTCTCCGGTTTCGCAGTAAAGAATTGATTCCTCAATCACCCAAAGAAGCAAAATCCAAACTCCACTCAACCCATAAATTTCACAGTAATCGCGTCTTTCGATCGATCGAACCTAAACCCTTTTCTACGAAAGTCTTGTAAATTTTTCCGCTTTTTCTCAATCATCTGAATCGGTTGAAAATGAGCTCCGATTCATCTCCGGCTGGAGACGGCGGCGAACAAACTGCTTCCGCTGCTGCGGGAACGAGCGCCGGGCCATCACCGTCTTACGACAAACAGAAGGAGAAGGCACGTGTGAGTAGAACGTCTCTGATTCTGTGGCACGCGCACCAAAACGACGCAGCTGCAGTGCGGAAACTCCTGGAGGAAGATCCGTCTCTTGTTCACGCCAGAGACTACGACAAGCGAACGCCTCTCCACGTGGCGTCGCTTCATGGATGGATCGATGTTGTGAAATGTCTGCTCGAGTTTGGTGCTGATGTCAACGCTCAGGATAGGTGGAAGAACACCGTAAGCGTTTTCCTTTGAAAATTTTGTTGGGTTTCTTGGAAGGTGTAAACTTTTCTTTGAGACTTCTTTATCTTTACCTTTGATCTGAAAATTTGTTTCGTTTTTGGGTATTCGAAGCCTCTGGCTGATGCAGAAGGAGCTAGGAAGCAGAAAATGATTGAGCTACTGAAATCTCATGGCGGTTTATCTTATGTGAGTTTTTGTTTTTCTTTCTGATCTCGTATAGCTTCAGATGATAAACGTTCGTTCTCTAAGGTACTGATTGCTATGGAATATGAAAAAGATTAATGCAAAATTTAGGAACTTTCATCTCTCTACGAAGCAGCTGCTTACTGCAGTATTGTTCGTTATACTTGTTTTCAAAGATTCAGAGAGACACTAAGTGTTTCGATTACTCTCGTCTTTTTTTTGGTTCTGTGTGGATCTCTTAGTCTCTTTGTATCTGGCTGAGTGAGTAAATTCTCTACGCAGGGTCAAAACGGAAGTCACTTTGAACCAAAGCCTGTGCCACCACCAATTCCAAAGAAATGTGACTGGGAAATTGAACCTGCTGAGCTGGATTTCTCAAATGCCGCAATGATTGGAAAGGTTTGTATTCTTCTGAAGCCAAGTTTGGTTCTTGATATCGATAGTTTTGAGTTAAATATCATCTGTGTTTAGTTCAATGCAATGGAGTTTGCGCAGTGAGTTTCTTTTAGCTAATTGGGAGGTTGTTGGTTCACATTTTCTGTCAGGGTTCCTTTGGTGAGATTGTGAAAGCTTATTGGAGAGGCACACCAGTAGCTGTGAAACGTATTCTTCCGTCTCTGTCAGATGATAGACTGGTTATGTAAGTTCTAATCTCTCTCTTCTGCTCTTATCAGATGAGTTTCCTCGACGGATTTTAGCTGATACTTTGGTAACAGTCTCTCGTAAGATTCTTGGTGTTTCATAAGTTCGATATTATTCTGTGATACAGTCAGGACTTCAGGCATGAGGTTAATTTGCTAGTTAAGCTTCGCCATCCGAATATAGTTCAATTCTTAGGAGCGGTAACCGAAAGAAAGCCGCTTATGTTAATCACCGAATACTTACGCGGGGTAAGTTTTTATCACTATCCGCTGTCTTTATCTCTGCATTGTTTTCTCCATGGCTATCTAAATGATCCATGCATTTTTTTTCACAGGGAGATCTTCATCAATACCTCAAGGAAAAAGGCGGTCTTACTCCGGCAACTGCTGTCAACTTTGCGTTGGATATCGCAAGGTAATTGAAGCTTACCATTTTAAGACATTATGTGAAAAGCTTTTCGTCATCTTTGGCCTGAGTGTTTTGTTGTTTTTCCTTTTTAATCTGTTGCTAACAGAGGAATGACATATCTTCACAATGAACCCAATGTTATCATTCACCGAGATCTTAAACCAAGGTAATCAAAATTGCTTCATATATTGCTCTCCTCGGTTTTACTTCAAATCTGCTGTTTATAAAACCGGTTCTCGCCTTTTATATTTTCAGGAACGTTCTTTTGGTTAATTCCAGTGCAGACCACTTGAAAGTTGGAGACTTTGGGCTTAGTAAGCTCATAAAGGTTCAAAACTCTCACGATGTCTACAAAATGACTGGGGAAACCGGAAGCTGTGAGTATTGTTCTTTAGTAAAACCACGGTCGTCGTCTTTTTTTTTTCTCTTTCATTTTTCTAACTTCACCTCCTTGTGTTACTCTTCTTCCAGACCGGTATATGGCTCCTGAAGTATTCAGGCATAGAAGATACGACAAGAAAGTCGATGTCTTCTCCTTTGCAATGATACTTTACGAGGTACTGAGATCTTAGCTATAAAATTCTGTCTCTGCAATAAACATAACCAAAGTATAGAAAATCTTAACCTTAATTTCATTACCACATTGTAAACAGATGCTTGAAGGAGAGCCACCGTTTGCGAACCACGAACCATATGAAGCAGCCAAACATGTATCAGATGGGCACAGACCTACTTTCCGTTCCAAAGGATGCACACCTGACTTGAGAGAGTAAGCAAAATCTGAGACCATATGAACCGTCTCTAGTTGACTGATAGCTTACCAATTTGTTTTTACAGGTTAATCGTGAATTGCTGGGACGCGGACATGAACCAGAGACCATCGTTTCTGGACATCCTCAAGAGACTTGAAAAGATCAAGGAAACTCTACCATCAGATCACCATTGGGGATTATTCACTTCATAATACACAACCAAATCTTCATTTAAACAAAAAACAACCAGAAACAAGAATATAACATTCTGATTGCTTATTTTTTCTATGTTTCTTGTCTTTTGTAAAGATTATTTCGTTTTCTTTTTTTTTTCTCTTTTCATTTGTTTCACAGTAAACGACTTAAGAGAGTGGTGTTCTATGGATTGGATTGAGTTTGCAGGTCAGTGAGATGTTAAGATAATATCAGACAGGATAAATTGTCTGTTTCCGCAAGAGAAATCGAGTAATAAAATGCTTTGACAAAAATGAATTCAGTTGTATATAAACTAGAGGCTTAAGGTTGTCAATACAATCTCTGTCATCAAGATATTGTAATGGTCTTTAGATGAGCTTCTTCTTCTCGAAGAAAGTCTTTAAGTGCCAAAATTGAAGACCTGCCACCGATAAACAAACCGCAAATGACACAAAACTCAACCATGCCATCTTCGAATTTGTTGATCTGTTCAGTTCGTGCATTTCTTCTTCCCTGCAACGTACGAGAGGAAGATGACTTTTGAGTCACTCACTTCGTCAGATTAAGTGACTTTAAGGGAAGACAGGTTTTTGTGTAATATTACCTGTCGCGGAGGTAAAACATCTCATCATGGATGGAAGTAACAGTTTCGAATAACTTCTTAACCTCAAACTCCATCGTCTGGCAAATAACATCAAGATCCAACCATAAAAACGTTAACAAAACAACTCTGCAACCTCTTTAAGAGCTTATAATGTCACCATTGTAAGTTAGCTTTGGCTCTGTTGTCTGTAAAAGCCTAGTCCTATCTATTTTCACCTTACAGGGGATCAATCAATCATAGGGAAAGAACTCCTGAATGAGCTGAAGTAAGAAACCGATCGGGATTAATGTTAAACTAATCAATCTGTCTTCTCACATGCATCAAATGAAGCCTAAGCAATGTGCGGACTCAAATTCATTGCCTGGTTCGAACCAATCCAATGCACCAAATATAACGTAGAAATTAAGATTACACAGAACATCTCAGTTCAGATATAACTTTCCATTTTCCAGCATAATGTTTTGGTCTAACTTAGCTATCGATAATTCCTCACACAATCCTCAACTTCTCCTCTATGTCATCGAAGCGTCCATCTATCTCGTCTATGAATTTAGCTTGACTAAGTTAAGACTTTTAATACTAAAGAAACAGCCGGAAACTTACTTCGACTTGGCTCTTCTTGGCCACATTCAACCAGTCCTTGGTATGAATACCCGTCCTCCAATCAAAGTCAATGATCAGCATCGTCTCCGGTTGGTGATTGACGGCGGAGAAGCAAGTAATGTAATCTCCTGTTTCGACCGCTGTTATCGAGAACTGTCCCGTATCCACTCCGTCCGCCTCGTGATAAGCCGTTCCTTGCGGCGATGTCACCTATACATCAACACATTGCATTTACTGAAACACCAGAAAAAGAAACTGAAAGAAATGCGATAAGATCGGGGAGATTTTTAGATGAATTGTTATTACCCTGACGGTGATTTTGTGGGAAGCAGGGAGAGGATGATCTTCGTTAGGGTTTACGATGCTGTATTTGCCGACGGACATGGCGTTGGCGTGAATCTCCTCGGAGATGCATTTCGTGTGCCCAGAAAGTAGCTCGTAACGCATTGAGAGCGTCGCCGGAGACAGAATTGAAAGGATAATCAGTACGATCGAGCTCCGATGAAGATCCATGGCGGCTCCGATATTGCGAGAGATAAATCGATCTGACTGTTTCGTCATTTCTGCCTAATGATGGAGACAAAAGAAAGTCAACACGTGCAATGCCACGCGTAAGTGTTTCATTCGTCATAACACGTGGGTTGGTTTAACACCTCCGACTCGTGCTCGCGCGCAGCTCTGATGTGGGCTTTATAATTAAGGCCCAATATTATATTGGACTTACCTTCTGAAGAATCTCGTAATGCCACCTTAAAAAGAAAATAAAAAAATAAACAACTCATCCAAATTTCATTCAAGCTTATCCTGTTTATAAAAAGTTCGAACTTGATTGGTAAATTTGTTGGAAAACAATACTCCTTGCAAGGGATGTAAAGAAGTATTTAAGTTTTTGTAAAGAAGAAAAAGACTTTCCTTGCAAGGGATGCTAATGCAAAAGTAAATGCCAATTTAGGGAATGAGTGTTATGATTTCGTTTCAATTTTTCACAAAAAGTCCAACAAATTCTGTATATTGTAGTTTATCTTTCTTAAAAAACACACACACATATGCATGTTAATTAAAGAACTGTCTGGATAAAAGAGATTAAACATTTTATTTCGAATCGTGATTAGTGCAATAAATAGGTGAAAATTGAATAAAGTAGGGAAGAACAATTAGGTGAATCCGTTGACGAATGACTTCGAGTCTCAAAAAGGTGAAATGTGTCATCTTTCTTTCTCTATTAGTATATGTTTTATCAGAGTTGAATATCTTTGCGAATTATTCTCTTTCTTCTTTTATATTTTTAATAATAAACCATTTCCTCTGAAAACTCGTTTTTTTTGTTGAATGAATTTGGTATTTTAATTAAGTCAAAAGAGTGGAAGAGAGGGAAATATGATCAAAGGGCTCTGATCAACCAATTAGGAAGAGTCAAGCTTTCAGAATTGGGAAATAATAAATTTTCATCCTAAACAAATGGGAAAATATTCGAAAGAGTGATGAAAAAAATATAAAATAAATGGGACCTAAAATAAATAAATAGAAGACCTTGGCGGTTATTTATTTATTTACGTATTTATTTTTGATCTTCATCCCTTACTATCACCGTTATCACCTCTCTCTAAATTTCTTGTATCGTGATTTTTATTAATTTCGATTTTACTCGGAAAAAGAAAAAAAGAGCTCCTCGAGATTCAAACCTTTGACAAGGAGAGAAACTGTTTCAGGAGCATTTCATTTCGCGTTTGTCATCTAATTTTATCTGAGCATTTCGAAGAAATTCTGAGGAAAATTTGACATCACAAGATCGAGAAATTTAGGTTTTGAGATTGGTTTCTCATGAAGCGGCGACGACGATCGTCGGAGGGAGATGGAAGTTAGATCGGAAACTACTCAGGCGCGAAGCGATAAGCTTCCGCCTCCGGCACTTCCGAAGCCTCGCGTACAAGTTTGGTTCGTAAGAGTCTGCTCCAGCATTTTGGTTTGGACCTGTTTGGTTCAGCTTTTCGCCGCCGGCGAGCTTTGGCATTCCCGGATCTTCACTGGTCTAACCAATCAGATTTCTAGATTTTCAGCCCCTGTCGAGCCAGTTCCATTGCCGCCTCCTCTTCCTCCCCCGAGTCAGTTTTATTTCCATCTTCTTTCTGGTTTTTCTGTTTGGGGCATTTAGGGTTGTATTTGTTTTCGTCTTGCTTGATAGTATAACGAGATGATTGGTTTTTGCAGGAAATTACACAAGCAATGGGATTCTACTTGTATCCTGTAATGGCGGACTTAATCAAATGCGATCCGCGGTTGGTCACTTGTTCTAATTGTTGCTTTAATTGCTCTTTTAATATTTTTCCGGATTTGATGTTTCTAAATCCCGACGCATGTTATTTCAGATTTGTGATATGGTGACTGTTGCTCGGCTATTAAACCTCACTCTCGTTGTTCCAGAGCTTGATAAAACATCCTTCTGGGCTGATCCAAGGTACTGTATGATCTTCTGTGTTAACAGGATATCTCATGTCTGATTATGCCTAACGTTTTTTTAGCTCACTAGCAATCTAAAGCATCCTTGGTTTCGTTTTGCAGTGGTTTTGAGGATATTTTTGATGTGAGACATTTCATTGATTCATTAAGAGATGAAGTTCGGATCTTAAGGAGGCTTCCAAAACGGTATAGCAGGAAGTATGGATATCAAATGTTCGAAATGCCTCCTGTGAGCTGGTCGGATGAAAAATATTACTTGAAGCAGGTATAGGCTCCTCACATATATCAAGCGTTTGCAGTTTCTTCATTTCTTGTTCTGTGTGTGTTTGTTATTGTTGATGAGTTTTTGTTGGTCTTCTCTTGTTTAATTCGACGAGTATACACACGCCTGTGATCGGTATATCTGATTTTTTTTTATCTTTTGTTCAGGTATTGCCCCTTTTCAGCAAACATAAAGTTGTACATTTCAATAGGACCGACACTCGCCTGGCAAACAATGGGCTTCCTCTCGCACTCCAGAGGCTCAGGTGCCGGGTGAACTTCCAGGGACTAAAGTTTACTCCACAGCTTGAGGCTTTGGGGTCTAAGCTAGTCCGCATTCTACAACAAAGAGGGCCATTTGTGGCTTTGCATCTGAGATATGAGATGGACATGTTAGCTTTCTCTGGTTGCACTCATGGTTGCAGTCAGGAAGAAGCGGAAGAGCTAAAAAAGATGAGGTTTGCCTTCGAAAAATATGTCCTCAATTGGTGCTTTGAATACACGTATTTTGTTGTTGTTGTTGTTAATGCATGGTTCCATTCTGTGCTGTAGGTACACATATCCCTGGTGGAGAGAGAAGGAGATAGTCTCAGAGGAGAGGAGGGCGCAAGGGCTGTGTCCTCTGACGCCAGAGGAGGTGGCATTGGTTCTAAAAGCATTGGGATTCGAGAAAAATACACAGATATACATTGCAGCTGGTGAGATTTATGGGAGCGAGCATAGACTGTCCGTACTCAGGGAAGCATTCCCGAGAATTGTGAGTCTACCCGTCTCGGTTTCCCTATCAAGTGGTCAACTACGTCTGCAGTATACATGCACTTTTTCTTATCAGTTTGTTCTCACATGTGGTTATAGGTTAAGAAGGAAATGCTATTGGAGTCAGCAGAGTTGCAACAGTTTCAGAACCATTCGTCTCAAATGGCTGCTCTAGATTTCATGGTATCTGTGGCGAGCAACACTTTTATTCCCACGTATGATGGAAACATGGCAAAAGTCGTGGAAGGTCATCGGAGGTAAATAATAAAATTGAATCCATTCAATTTCCTGACAACTGACAAAGTAGTGTTAAGAAAACCATTCCTGTGATTCTTAACTTCGTTTGTTGTGTTGAGTTTGCAGATACCTTGGGTTTAAGAAGACAATCCTGCTTGACCGTAAGAAACTCGTGGAGCTACTGGACTTACACCACAGCAAGTCTCTCACGTGGGATCAGTTTGCAGTAGCCGTTAAGGAAGCCCATGAGAGACGAACAGGAGCACCTACACATCGAAGAGTAATCTCTGACAAACCTAAGGAGGAAGATTACTTCTACGCAAACCCTCAAGAATGTCTTTGTGAAGGCACAAATTGCCACGACCTGTTTGGCCATAGAAATTTCAATTTAACACATTGAAGTCATGTTTTTTAGCATATTATCTCATTGTTTCTGCAAGAGGACGGCATGCAGAACACTCAGAAAGGGAGCTGCATAAGTTCCTTCCCTGAGTTTTTCCATTTTTGTTTGTAACCTTTTTTTTTTCAGTTTTCCTGCATAGTTGCTGATCTTAATTTATTTGTTTTACGTAAGTTAAGATGTAACTAAGAGATGTACCAACTTATAGAACTTCAAAAAGGCCGCTTTTGGCAATAGTCTAACATACAGATTGTTGTCTATCAATTTTTCTATCTCGAGGTCGATTCAACTCTATGCGGTCTTGTCTGAGACCAAACCAGTACAGATTTTCTTTCTGGCCCTGAGCTTGTTCTGCAGGATAAGCTATATACCAGCTAAGCTAATCCTCACTCCCAGAAGATGATTTCGCCTTGCTCGCCGACCAAACCAAGATCTTTGAGCCTTCTCTCTTGGTAATACTCTAGCACATCAAGCTCAAGCTCTCTATCCTTGAAGATTTGGTCGATTTGCTGAAGCACCTTCTTCTCACCAATCCTTATCTTGAGAGCCATTTCTATCCTAGGCTCAAGCTTTCCTTCTTCCAGAAACTTCTCATCCTGCCAAAGACGACAAAGACAGAGCAAGAAATGAGTGCTAAGTAGCTGCAAAGACAGTATACGTAAGAGCTGGAACATATATATACCTCTTCAATGGTGGTGCTAAAACCAGACATAGCAGATTTGCAGGCATCTCTGACAACACGGCATATAAGTTCCTCGTTTGAACGGCTTACAGGCAATTCAAGATGGCCCCATATGGTGTTTCTGAAGATAGACTCTAACAAAAACGCATCTGAACCGCCAAGAGCCACAAGTCGAATGTACTGAAGCATGCCAGCAGGAAGAGACTGGCCCTCTACTATGTCAAAGTATCCGGTCTCACTCATCCCGTTAGTCTCAGCGATATCCAACTTATCCCCAAAGAATGGGTCTGATTCTGGTATCTCTATTGTTAGAGTGTATGAGTTCCGGTTAGGGCTTGATTCCACAAAACCATAGTCCAGAGCAAGTTCTGCATTGCTTTTGTTCAGATCGTACTGAATGTATACCTGTGGAAGAGATCACCCACACAAATATTAAAGGGCTTGTTCTTTCACTCTCTTGAGGGGTAAAAATAAGCAACAGGGTTTGAAGCTTACCTGCTCACCTGCTTTAACATAAACAGGTGATTTCAAGGAAAACAAGAGATCTCTAGAGAAAAGCCCAGCTCCTTTGATCTCATATGCATAATCTTCTGTAGTTATCGCGGGGTTATGGTTTATCTGTACAAAGTCAAACACCGTAATCATGGATATGGGTGAAGGTTCTTTGCTGGATAATTTAACAAGACGTTCTCTGAAACTAGAAGAAAACTCTCCCTTCTTCGAACAATTCTATTCTATAAAGGAGGGCTTACCAAATCTGCAAGAGGGATCAAGACAAGGTTTTGGCCACGGAGGCGAGAAAAGGCTCTCGACCTGAGAATCCCAAAAGCCCAGATGAAGTCATCGAGTGTTATGCGGGATGAGAAGAGATCTTTGTTAGGCAGTAATATCTCTTGTTCCAGTTTCGAGAATTCGTTCTCCACATACTCTTTCACACCCAATGTGGTGCTCAACAGTTGAGTCCCTGTGCCACACAACAGAAACCCACCACGTTCACAATGTTGATCAGGCAATGCAGATTGTGAACGGTACTCGAATGATCTAACTATCGAAAGAAGAAGAAAAAGGTTGAAAAGATCGAACCTTTGAGCTCAGCAAGCTCCTCTTCTGACCTGTACTGGATACATTTCACGAAGAAGACATCCATCTCACATCAGATAAGTTCTTTAATATAATGAATGATGATCAGAGAAGGACAAAACCCACCAGAATATGGTAGAGTCAGTAGATTCAGGAAGAATATCAAGATAAACTCTCCACGTGGAATCTTCGTCATACTTTTCTTTGATTAAGAACAGAGCTACTGAAACCCACGGCTTTAATCCCCCGCATAAAGGTCCAATTTTGGAAGCCGTCACAGTCTCTGGGTTTATCCACAACCGCTTGGGAATCTCCAGTACGACCTCATTTCTTCCGATATCGCGCCGGGCTACAAGTCCTAGACCTTCCGATACCACCGCGGGTTCTGCGACAGACTTCCCGGATACGACTCCTTGGTCTCCGAGCCATTTCCAGAATTTCCCTACATTTTCCGGCAATTCTGAGCGTGAAGCGGAAATGGGTCTCACCGAAGATTTCATGGGTAGATTTATCTGCCGAGTAGAAAGGAAAGGAAGAGTTTTGAGACTTTCTTACTGACGGGAGACGGAGAAAACCCGTCGCGACGGCGACGGCAGCGGCGGAGGCTGTCATGGTGGTTTTCCGTTGGCGGGTAGAGAGTATCAGTGAAAACAGAGAGTGGATAATATCCACGACTTAAAAAATTTTCAGCTGAGAAAATAAAAAAGTCTATTTTTCCTAGTCAATAATTTAAAAGGCCCATTTTTGTAAAAGGCTCATTATCGTAAAAGGCCCACTATCATAAATTGTATATCACAGAAAAGACAGTCACAAAACTAACATTTCTAGTTTCATTTATTTTTTTGTTGATAAAATGTAAAGAATTTCTAGTTTCATTTTGTTTTATAACTCACAGAGGCATGATATTAGATTTGGATCCAAATTATAAAATTGCAATATCATCAATATATTCGTATAAACTATAATAATGCTACAAACTTCGATCTACTAACATCTATATCAATTTTTTTTTGGTTAACTGTATGATTATGTCTCCAAATGATATCAAAGACGGACGGAAAAAAATAAATACTTCTCTCATGTAAACCACAAAATCCAAGCCCATATGTTGGGTGACGTGGCGGTCAGATCTACACAAATTCATGGTCTGCTCAACGAAAGTCATCCTTTTTTTTTCGGACTAAAAAAGTCATCGTTTCTTCTTGTCAGACAAATGAATTTTCTTATTTTACTTTTCTTTCTTCCAAACTTTATAAATATAATATAGAGTTTCGCAATTGACGAAACTATGATATTTGTGATTTATCGTTACCCTGTTTCTTCTTAATTGGTAACAAGAAAATATCTGGTATTCTATAACTAGGTGCGTGGAAAAATGCTTCATGATAAAAACAAAAAATAGTACTCCATTTAGTAATTAAGTGTTGCGAGATGGTCAAATAGGATGGCTAATTTATCTAGGAAAGTCAATTTGGCTAGCATTAAAAGAAAGAGATACATGATCAACTTAATAATAGTAACCATGACTCTTTTGATATTTTTATTTCTTTAACTAAACATTCACAGGGTTACTATACTATTCAGTTCATAATCTCTGCAAAATCAATGAAGGATTTATTTATTTTTCAATAACCTTCTCCACTGAACATCATTCTCGACAAAATGTTTCAATGATTGATGCAACTCTGAATTTATAACGTTCAAATCGTATGCAAATAGTCTATATATTCTCTCGTTGGATCACTCATCATAAAATCATATCGTTACTTGATTTTAAACTCATCTTAGGTTCATTTTTCTTTCTCAAATTGCAATTCTTACAACTAGGTTATTCTAGATTAATGATTCCATTGTGATAAAAAATTTGCCTTGTTAGTCCAAGTGATAGATCAAATCTTTTCAGACGTGAAATCATCGTACTCCACCATATCTCCCTAAACATGTCTATGGGTTTTGGGAATTTAATTACCCACGACTATAAAAAATAAATTCGCGGTTATTATATAACAAGTAGAATTCTACAAAAATGCATTGATTCTAGATTACTGAGTGTAGTTCCCAGTCAGTGTAATGTTTTTAGTACCAAGTAGCTATCTGTCTCACGAATCAGCAAAACTACCCATATATATACACATGCTCACATAAACTTCATATTTCTCGTTCTATGCTTTGTGTTGTTTTTCAAAAACCAATGGTATTGGAGATACTCAATTATGATAATTGAGAGATGATTGTCTATATCATTAGCACATCATTCTTAGTAATTAGTCAATATTTTATTTCCTTACTTTGCATTACAATCTCTATAGAAATGTACCATCATCATGTACAACGAAAATCATGACTTTTCAAAAATCTGATACGGTATATATATGACAAGTAATCAGTACCTAATTTCCCTAATTTTGTTTTTTTCTCTGTCTTCTTCCTCTCAATTGTTCTCTCCAGTATACTCTTCATCGTTTTCTTCTCAAACATGTATACTCCACAAAAACGACTCCCGTCGACAACGTTATTGACTGTAAAAATCATTCCTATATATATAGTATAACTATAAACTATAAACATGATGCCGAGACATTGTGAATTGACTACACAGCTGTCGATTAGATATAAATAACTCGAGGACCACTAGCTGCGTTGATTTTACAGATAACTAATTAATTTTGTTGCATTTATTATACACCAATATACTTTATACTATACGAAATTAGATATGTCTTTCTATTTCTAATTATAAAATGTTTTTTTTTTTAAGTTTTCATATAAATAAAAAATAATTGATATGTAGTAATAAATGCATCATTTTTCTTAAACAGGTTTCATAACTATAATCCAGTTATTACATCATGTATTGACAACTTATCAATTTGTATAGAAAACTTAATAATTAATCTTTTAGTAATTGATAAATTTTTTGAGAATTTAATAATCACATCCTTTTTATATTATTGTTGTTTAGAAACCAGAGTATTTGACCAACAAGATCAAATGAAACTATCGCTTTAAATAATCTTCTTTTTCTGAATAACTTCTCTATCTTATTCCTAATTTTTTTTTTTCGCACGTAATAATTTATGTTGAAGAGATCCATGCAACTTAATGAGTATACGTTAATTCCATTTTCTATTCACTTTGGTTCTCTGAAATTAATTACAATAATACTATCAACCTCGAGCCGCCATATGCATGTGTGATAAAAATATGCGACTAGGGTCGTCCACTACGAATATAAAATTTCTCGAGACGACACCGATTGATTAGTGGATTAATGATCAAAATCGAATATTTTTCCTATTTTCTCAAACGCTTAGATTAACACGCAAATTAAACCAAAATGCGGCGATACAATCTATTGTAAGAACTAGTAAAATAGAATGTTCGATCTTTGTCTGAAAACTTAAATGTATAAAAATATTACACTCATGGTAAAAGTAGATGTCGAAAATCAACTCACAAATTTCTTGTGCCATGATGACTAGGAAAAAGCGGAAATTATTTGTAATGGAATGACCGATTACAGTAAAAAGGAGTTCCAATTTCTCTATATTTGATTGAACTTGTCAGTTTCCACGCGCTCAAGTTGCCCAAATTGAATTTCACGTTGAATAGGAGTCAATAAAGATGATCAAAAAGCTATAAAGTTAATTACTCGTACAAATTAGAATCAATTTTTTAATCATAAACATCAAACAAACGTTTAAAAATCATAACAACTCTCTCTTTCTCCTCTCTTCTGATTAGGTGTATATATAAATATACGATTCCTCTGCTCTTCAGACACAAACACAAAAATATCAATCTAAACAAAGACTAAAGATAGATTCGAAAAAAAGACTAAAGATAGATTCGAGACAAGAATCGAGATGAAGTTCGGGAAGGAGTTCTCGTCGCAGATGGTGCCAGAGTGGCAACAAGCTTACATGGATTACGATTTTCTCAAAACTCTTCTCAAAGAAATCATCCGATTCAAACTCCGAACCAACAACGCACATCCTCATGGCGGTGGCGCCAAGAATCACCACGACGGAGGATTAAACCGGAAAATGACTCTATACCGCGCGTTTAGCGGTTTAGTCTCAACGCCGGGAAGGCAAAGACGAAGCAATAATCCTCACGACGTCGAGGAAGGGATACAGTTAACGGCGACGACGTCGACGTCGGGACCGATTCTGGTGAACAACACGGCGAGTCGCGGTTACGAGACGACGTTTCTGATGGCGGCGGAGGAAGGAGGAGAGTATGAGTTAGTGTTTTTCAAAAGACTAGACGACGAGTTCAATAAAGTCAACAAATTTTACAGAGAGAAAGTAGAGGAAGTGTTGAAAGAAGCTGTGGTGCTCAACAAACAGATGGACGCTTTGATCGCGTTTCGTGTCAAAGTTGAGAATCCACAAGGTTGGGGATGGGATGAACGGACGGTTGAGATTACTCGATTAGCTTCCGATATCGCTACTTCTGCGGCGGCTCTCTCCGCTTCTACTCCCGCCGGAGCTAAATCCAGTAAGCAATCATTGAGTCCTTACTTTCCCCACCTAACTTACTGACTTTCACTTTCCGACACAAAACACAACCGCAAGATTGGTTCAATTTGATGTCCCGGTCTAAATTAATTTCCGGTTTATAAAATGGCTTACCAAACCGACATTTTTAAATTTTGTAGTGAAGGTTCGAAGTCAAGCTGCTCATATGGAGTCAATACAGGAAAGAGGCTCGAGAAGAGCTGGGCAAATAGAAGAAAATGATGAAGAAGAAGAGGAAGAAGAAGAAGCAGAAAATAATGTAGACGTGAATACGAGCAGGATGAGAGGATTGAGACCAGCTCCGATTGATGTTCTGGATCGAGTCAAGATCAACAACACCAAAGAGACGCCTCGTTCCACCATTAAAGGAGTTCTCCAGGTATCGAGCCAGACCGAGTTAAAATTCAGCAGAGATAATCTGAGGAAAGTCGAGGAGAGGCTCAGGCGTGCTTTCGTCGAGTTTTATCAGAAGCTTCGGCTTCTCAAGAGCTACAGGTGCGTTTGGGTTTAAATTTTGGTTGATGAAAGTGGGGACTTTTTTTTGTTTGTCTCATGATTGATGGGTTTTTGAAATTTGATTTTATGTAATGCAGTTTTTTGAATGTATTGGCGTTCTCGAAGATATTAAAGAAGTATGATAAGGTAAGATTTGAGCTTGAGCCTTTCTATTTTTGGGGGAGCTAGATGTTTCGGGTGCCTGAAATGTGTTCGACGAAATTCCTTTTACAGGTAGCCTCGAGGGATGCAACGAAGTCTTACATGAAAGTAGTTGATAGTTCATACCTGGGAAGCTCTGATGAGGTAAGAGGTTTTCTTAGTTTTGATCCAATTAGTTAAGTGGCCTCATCGATTTCTCAGTTTTTTTGTTTAGTCTCGTATTGATCTTTTATCTATATCTTCTGTTATCGCAGGTTATGAGACTCATGGAACGTGTTGAAGCTACATTCATAAAGCATTTTTCAAATGCTAATCGAACAAAAGGAATGAATATCTTACGGCCTAAAGCGAAACGAGAGAGACATAGACTTACATTCTCAACTGGTAAAGTCAGAAACTTGCACAGATTGGTATTGTTAGTTCAAACTTTGTGGTGCTTATGAGTAATTTGGTTTCAGGTTTCACGGCTGGATGCGTTTTCTCTCTTATCGTGGCTCTTGCCGCGATCATCCGCACCCGTCATCTCTTGCAAGAGGAAGGCCAGAAGCAATACATGAATACTATGTTCCCTCTGTATAGGTAGACAACGTAGTAACTTGGCCTTTATTCTTAAGAATTAATATCGAGCATTGGAATATGTTGTTTAGATGTTTTCTTATTTGCTGTTTCTTGCAGCTTATTCGGTTTCATCGTGCTGCACATCATCATGTATGCTGCTAATATATACTACTGGAGGCGATACCGTGTAAACTATTCCTTCATATTTGGGTTCAAGCAAGGAACTGAACTTGGATACAGACAAGTCTTGCTTGTGGGTTTCAGCATCGGAGTCTTTGCATTGCTTTGTGTTCTTGCCAATCTTGACATGGAGGCAAATCCCAAAACGAGAGACTATCAAGCATTTACCGAACTTCTTCCTCTTTTCCTACTTGTTGTAAGTTCCAAAACCCGGAAACTGGAGTTTTGTACTCCCGTTAAAACAATGGCATAATAAATAACCCTGTTATATTTGTTTCCCACTTTTGCAGGCTCTGTTCGTGATTCTAGTCCTGCCATTCAACCTCTTTTACCGCTCAAGTCGCTTTTTCTTCCTCACTTGTCTGTTTCATTGCCTCGCCGCTCCTCTTTACAAGGTAAATCAGAGATTGAATAAGCTCATCTACCAAAGAGAATGTAGTAAATTTCTATCCGAGTAGGTCTTAAACTGTTACTTTTCGTTTTTCTCCTGCAGGTAACATTACCTGATTTCTTCTTGGGCGATCAATTAACTAGCCAGGTTCAAGCTATTAGAAGCATCCAGTTCTACGTCTGTTACTATGGTTGGGGAGACTTCAAACATAGAGAGAACACTTGTAATCAATCTGGTGTGTACAAAACTTTCCTCTTCATCGTTGCTGTCATCCCTTATGTCTCTCGCCTCCTTCAGGTACATAGCTTCTTCACTTCAAAAGAGTAATCCAACATCTAGCATTCAATAACTAAAACTGTACCCAATGCAGTGCCTGCGACGGCTATTTGAGGAGAAAAACCCGGAGCAAGGGTACAACGGACTCAAGTACTTCTTGACTATAGTGGCGGTTTGCTTGAGAACGGCTTACAGTATCCAGACAGGTCAAATCGCTTGGAGGGTCTTAGCCGCTATCTCCTCAGCTGTAGCTGCAATATTCTGTACATACTGGGACTTTATCCATGATTGGGGTCTTCTAAAGCGGACATCTAAAAACCGCTGGCTCCGTGATAAACTCCTCATTCCTCAGAAGAAAGTTTACTACATCGCGATGGTGAGTCTCAAAAAAAAAAAAATATTACATCAAAGGTGTTAGACAGCAACTGATCTTGGAACATGTATCAGATTTTAAATGTCCTGCTGAGATTTGCGTGGATCCAGACGGTTCTAGATTTCCACTTCTCCTTCATGCATAGACAAACGATGGTTACTCTTGTTGCTAGTCTTGAGATCATTCGTCGTGGTATCTGGAATTTCTTCAGGTATTTCTAAACTCACAACACTGATTAATTCCACAAGCTGTGTTGCGTTAATATTCAGTTTAGTAACTCTCTTGTGTTTTTTTGGTTCGTGGAAAACAGATTAGAGAACGAGCATTTGAACAATGTAGGGAAATTCCGAGCCTTCAAGTCCGTTCCATTACCGTTCAACTACGATGAAGATGAAGATAAAGACGATTAGTAGTTTCAGAAGACCGTGAATACTCTTTTCAGTTACCCGAAGTCCATCAAACCGTATACACCTGTCTTTCTTTTTATTTTTTGTCGACAGAATAGAAATGTAGGAGGCATCAAAGACATGTAACACAAGGTTCGATTTTTAGTGGTAAATCGTGTAGGAACATATATACAGTATTGTTCAAACTGTTCATTGCAGTTTATATAGAATTCATTTTATTCAACTTCGCTCTTCGTACATAATTCGAATCGACTCTGATCAACCAGACACACGTTGAACGAGAATAGTTGAAAAAGACTTTTGTCACACCCATTATATATTTTCAAAAACATACAAACAAGACTAAATTTGAGATTCACCTTACCAAAAAATTATGCAGAGAAAATGCTGGCCTTAGAATTCTCATTCAAAGCGAAGAAACTTCAGCTCAAACCTAACAAAATGATCAACGCTGACGATAAAAGTCAGTCATTCTTGGCCGCAATTAACTAAACTCTCGTTAAACATGATTGTCGAAAACATCTAATTGATATATACATAAACATCGTTGATTAAGGCAAAGAATCATATGTTCATCATCAACATCGTATAAACGGATCAAGGGTTTTAGTATGCTCGGTTCTCTGCCTTTACAAGGGATTTGAGCTTGCTTGCAACGCAAGGCTTTACATATAAGAGAGAAAAAGGAAATATACAGACGACAAGCCGACAAGGAAAAGATTTGAGTCATTGAGTGCATAAGGAGAAAAAGGAAGTTTTCCAAGAAGAAGAAGATAGGCCATCACAAAAGACTTCTACAGCACAGCTAGAGAGCGTAATCGAATCTATTTATTCCATGTTCAAAAGTTTAAACCCCTCCCAAACCGTTTGTGAATTGTGATAGTCATTATATATGAGTTATCAAGTTAACCAAAGAGGCTGATAACAGCTACGGCGTTACAAATGAGAAACACAGCCACATACCAGGCAAATCAGGGATGTTTAACTCTGCATCTTGTTCATCTTAGATATCGAATTGAAGTCGGTAAACAAATGCTACTTATCTTAAGCACAAAGTGAAACAACAAAGAAGATGTCAACTTTTCAACTTGATTTTCAGGCAAACTAGAAAAAATGCTGAACCAGAATCAATCACTTGAAAAAAGATCACGCCTTTTCTGTTCTAGAAGCAACAAAGCACGCTAAAATGAGGAAATAGCTTAGCAAACCACAAAGGAAGACAAGGTTTCTTGACTAAAACATTCAGGGCATCAACAAAGTAGGGACCTTTATATCAAATTATTTCTCGACTTATTCGCAAACAAAATGACAGATTAATAAGGGGAGAAACTCAACCATCAATGGTCGATCTTATAAGTTTTGATTCTAACAACGAAAATTTTCTCTGTTCCTAGTGAACAATTTTATCCCCAAATCCAATATTGATAATCCCTTAAAACGAGAAACCATAAAAATTACCAAAATCAATTTCAATCATCCCTGAGCTAGCTTCATCGCAGCCATTTCCTCTTCCGAGATCTTCTTCTCGGCTTCGAGCTCCTTCTTCACCTGTTCTTCAGCAGCTTTCTCCGCCGCGAGAATCGGCTGGTAGTAATCGGAGTGAGCATCCATACACTTCTTCAGCAACGAAGTGACTTCCGTACACTTGGTGACGATATCTTCCTTGTTCTTCTCAGCTTCCTCCACGCAAACTTCCCAAGCCGTGAACGATTCTTTGCAACCACCTGCTTTCATGAACAAGCAAAACCCGCACTCTCCTTCCTCTTCCCCCTCCGCGTCTCCTTCCTTTGGTTGATCCGATTCTTCAATTGGGGATCCGGATTCTACTGGATCACGCCAAACAGTTGAAGAATCACCCAATTTCTCCGAAGAGGACGAATCTCCAAGCTCTGGGGACGAATCTCCAAGTTTCTCCGATGGGACTTGGTTGTTTTGAGATTGGGAATCGGAATTCTCCGTCTTTGGATCCGTCGATGACATGAACCCCATTTTTCCTCAGCCGCGAGATCGGGTCTTGTGGGAATCGAATAAGGCAAAAAAATGGCTAAATGGTTTTAGGCTTCTCGGTGTAGCCGCCGCCGACTCCTACAGATGTGTAGTCGCAATTCGCAACTTCTATGTCAAAACTCTAAACCCCTCAAAAACCCTTTCCCTTTGTGATCATCTATTTTTTTTTTTTAATGTAGTAACTTTATTCATTTAATTTGATTTTGTTATAAAAAAATTATTTGAGGTCATTTTTTCCTGGGCAAAATAAAAATTGCTGTGGATAAATCGTAGGGGTAAATTATTATTTTTGTAAGAAAATAGAGTAGGGTAAATTCTAAAAATGGTAAATGATAAATCCTATACGTTGGTTTTGCTTTTGTTTGTTTTTCCTTAAGAAAAAAAAATCATTTTTGACGGGTCAATTGGTGATGTATGAGCCATATGGCAAAGTCAAACATCTCAAAACCGGATTAAAAGAACAAACCGAACTCAACCATGAAAACTACATATTAGATCAACCAAAAAAAAAAAAAAACTGAATGTGATTAGTCCACAAGAGACCTGAAAAATGCGAGTTGACAAAAAATGTATTGTTGAGATGTCCACATCACAATGCTTTTTGGGTAATTAAAGCTAACTCTCTTATTTGCCATTTTTCGTTAACTTAATAACTTGATTGTTCACATAAACCGAATATCAACACCTACATCAATTTGTTTATTGTAACAGATATAAGAATTAATCATTTGAAAAATATTGGAGTCACTTTCAGAGTTTGTCGATTTGCACAGCCTAACACATTTAGAATATTTATAAACGTACAAGTTTCTTTGACTTAGTCACAATAAGAGTTCTAAACTCTTTGATAACTTCTAATAATGATTGATACTAAAAATCCATAGAAATGTCGGTATGTGTCATCAACTATTTCAAATCTCCGGTGAAGTTTTTTGGGGCTCTGGGTATGAAGATGAAGCTTATGATAACAGTCGTCACTTGCTTAGTACTTTGGTCGGTGATGATAATATCATTGTCCAACGTCTTCAAACACCAGCTTCTTGGTGCTATAGTCAACGGTAGGGATCATTCATCTTCTATGTTTCTTATCCAGAAACGCTTCTTTTGACTTAATATTTCATTTTCTTGTGATTAATAGGTTCAAATGATTCCCAAAAACCGAGAGATAAACTGTTAGGAGGGCTTTTAACCGCTGATTTCGATGAAGATTCTTGCTTGAGTAGATATCAGTCTTCCTTGTATCGCAAGCCTTCACCGTACAAGCCTTCTGAATATCTTGTCTCAAAGCTTAGAAGCTATGAGAAGCTTCACAAGCGTTGTGGTCCAGGCACAAACGCTTACAAGGAAGCAACAAAGAATCTTGGTCATGATGGTCAGAATTATGCAAACAAATCTGTTGGTGAATGCAGATACATTGTGTGGGTCGCGGTTTACGGGCTTGGCAACAGAATACTTACTCTTGCCTCTGTCTTCCTCTATGCTCTCTTGACAGAGAGAGTCGTTCTTGTTGATCAAAGAAAAGACATTAGTGATCTCTTCTGTGAGCCTTTTCCAGCTACTTCCTGGTTACTTCCTCTGGACTTTCCATTGATGGGTCAGATAGATAGCTACAACAAGGAATACTCTCGTTGTTACGGAACAATGTTGAAGAATCAAACCATTAACGTAACTTCAGTCCCACGGCATCTATATCTTCATATCCTACATGATTCAAGAGATGAGGATAAGATGTTCTTCTGCCAAAAAGATCAAACTTTAATCGATCAAGTCCCTTGGTTGATTGTCAAAGCCAATGTCTACTTTATCCCATCTCTATGGTTTAATCCAACTTTCCAAACCGAGCTCATCAAGATCTTCCCACAAAAAGAAACCGTCTTCTACCACCTGGCTCGGTATCTTTTTCACCCAACAAACCAAGTTTGGGGAATGGTCACTAGATCCTACGATGCTTACTTATCAAGAGCAGACGAGACACTCGGGATCCAAGTACGGGTTTTCAGCAGACGCGCTGGATATTTCCAGCACGTCATGAACCAGATAGTAGCCTGTACACAAAGAGAGAAGCTGTTGCCTGAACTGACTACACAGGGATCACAAGTCACTACTAATACAACGAAAATCCCGAACCTTAAAGCTGTTCTGGTCACATCTCTGTATCCAGAGTACTCTGATAACCTAAAGAAAATGTATTGGGAACGACCAACTTCGACAGGAGACATTGTACAAGTTTATCAGCCAAGTGGAGAAAGGTTTCAGCAAACGGACAAGAAGCTTCACGACCAAAAGGCACTGGCCGAGATGTATCTTCTGAGTTTAACAGATAAGATTGTCACAAGCGCAAGGTCTACATTTGGATATGTTGCTCATAGTCTTGGAGGATTAAAGCCATGGTTACTCTATCAGCCAACGAGAGGCAAAACTCCAAACCCACCTTGTGCTCGTGCTATATCCATGGAGCCTTGTTTCCTTACTCCTCCGACTCATGGATGTGAAGCCAAAAAGAGAATTGGCTCGGCGAAAATCGTTCCTTTTGTTAGACATTGTGAGGATCTTTGGCATGACGGGCTTAAGCTATTTGATGATACCAAAGATGAGTTATAGTTCTTATTCCATTAAAACAGAGATTTTTTTTTTAATGAATGAATATTGGTAATATCAATGTAAAGGCAATGGATCTATGCTCGTCTATTCGTCTACATATTAAAACTTGAAAATAATGATCAACCATTAGTGTGTTGTGGTAACTTGCTATGATTTCAGATTCTATTATGGTGAAATTCAGGATGTAAGAGAAGAAAGTTTTTTTTTGGGTGATTCATTGGTTGGAATACTGATGACAGTATGAAATGTTGAGAGGTACACAAGTACACAAAAACAGAGGATAAGTTATATAATATATATAACCAGATTAGATATATTGGCTTGCTTTCCATATAGATTGTGAATGATTTAGTCTATTTTTACTCTAGATTTTCAAATCTCAAATCCTAATGCATTTAACGATTTGTCTGTCAACTACAATGAAGTTGCATGGAGGGTTACAGTCGATAAGATGTCTTGGTCATTTTTAAGTATTTTTTCTATGACATACAGATTACAGACTGGCTCTTACAATCAAGCTGCTTGGATGGTTACAGTCGACAAGATGTCTTGGCCATTTTTAAGTATTTTTTTCTATGACATACAGACTGGCTCTTAGATCGGAATCAAATAATATCAAGACTTATAGCAATTTATTTTATATTTGTAGTAGGAAGAAACAATTAGTGAATTAATGAAAGAATTAAAAGAAAAAAAAATGAATTAATTCATTCATTATAACATGTGTGTTGGAGTTTGTTGATGGTCACAACAATATAAGAATAGGTAAAACACAAGTTTCGTTAACTTAATCGCAGTTGACCTCTAATTCAAATATTTTGGGTATGAAGAAGAAGCTCATGACAACAGTCGTCACTAGCATAGTACTTTGGTCGGTGATGCTATTCTCCAACATCTTCAAACACCAGCTACTTCATGCTGATACCAACGGTAAAACCACTGATCTTTTGAGATTATTGTCAACTTGAGAGATATTTCTTTGAGCATCATTTTTCTTGTAATAGGTTCAAAGGATTCTGAAAAACCGAGGGATAAACTGCTAGGAGGTCTTCTCACTGCAGACTTTGATGAAGATTCTTGTCTGAGTAGGTACCAGTCTTCCTTGTATCGCAAGGCTTCACAGTACAATCCTTCTCAGTATCTCATCTCTAAGCTCCGAAACTACGAGATGCTTCACAAGCGTTGTGGTCCAGGCACAGAAGCTTACAAGAGCGCAAAAGAGCGGCTTGGTCAAGATGAGCTTGCAAGAAGCTATAGTGAATTATGCAAATACATTGTGTGGGTGCCATTGTCTGGGCTTGGAAACAGAGTGCTTGGCCTGGCTTCCCTGTTTCTCTATGCTCTCTTGACAGAGCGAGTCATTCTTGTTGACCAACGGAGCCATTTAACCGATCTCTTCTGTGAGCCTTTTCCGGGAACTTCTTGGTTACTTCCTCTGGATTTTCCACTGATGGATCAGTTAGATAGCTACAACCAAGAACATGAGCGTTGTTACGGAACAATGTTGAAGAAACATGCCATTAACTCGACTACAACCCTTTCACACCTTTATATTCATCTTTTTAGTGGTTACAGAGATCATGACAAGACGTTCTTCTGCGAAGCAGAACAAACCCTCATCAGGAAAGTGCCTTGGTTGGTCGTTAAATCCAACCTCTACTTTGTTCCCTCTCTATGGTTGATCCCCAGTTTCCAAACCGAACTTATCAAGCTATTCCCGCAGAAAGACACCGTATTCTACAACCTGGCTCGGTATCTTCTTCACCCGAGTAACCAAGTTTGGGGTATGGTCACTAGGTCTTACAACGCTTACTTAGCCAGAGCAGATGAGAGACTTGGCATTCAAGTAAGGGTTTTTAGCAGACGCGCTGGATATCTCCAGCACGTCATGGACCAGATCGTAGCATGTACACAAAGAGAGAAACTATTACCTGAAGCAGCTACGCAAGAAGAATCACAAGTAACAAATACATCAAGAAGCCAGAAACTTAAATCTGTTCTTGTCACATCTCTGTATCCAGAGTACTCTGACAACTTAAAGCGGATGTTTTGGGAACGACCGACTTCGACAGGAGAAATAATTCAAGTTTATCAGCCAAGTGAAGAAATGTTTCAGCAAACAGACAAAAAGCTTCACGACCAAAAGGCCCTCGCTGAGATGTACCTCCTAAGTCTGACGGATAAACTTGTCACAAGCGCATGGTCTACATTCGGATACATAGCTCAAGGTCTGGGAGGAATAAAGCCGTGGATACTCTACAAGCCAGAAAACAACACAGCTCCTGATCCGCCATGCGTTAGGGCCATGTCAATGGAGCCTTGTTTCCTTAGAGCTCCACTCTATGGTTGTGAATCCAAGACTGCTACTGACACAGGGAAACTCGTCCCTTTCGTAAGGCACTGTGAGGATTGGATCCCGGGACTTAAGCTAGTTGATGCCCCAGATAAGTTATAGAAGTAGAGAAGCTTTGATGAATTTTCGATTGTACATCTTCATCCTCGGATTTATTAATGTAATCCATGGTAAAGATTTTGTTTTAAGGACTCGTTAATGTCCCACAGTGATTGTTGGAGGTGAAAACCGCACTCCGGTTTTCTCCGGTACAAACTGAGATCGGCAAACCATAAGTCCGGTTTACAAAGGAACGTACCGAGAAAAGATGGGCCGAGCGGAGGCTGGCCGAATACGGCCCATTAGGCCAAGGTCGGTGAGAAACCTCTCGAAGGAATAGAGGGTTTCCCTGAGCTCGGTCAAAACAGGAAAGTTTCCTGATGGAAAAAAGGAAACTTTGGAGAGAAAAGGAAAGAAACCGAGAGAAAAGGAAACTCCTCTCGGTCCCATATCGTCTAAGGCGTGCTCGAGGACCGACTTAAGAGATATATATAAAAGGAGATGAATCGACACCAGAGAACACAAGATATTCCCAAGAAGACTTAAAGACTGAGAGCTCAATACGCTAGTTTCTTAGTCGTCTTAAGTCTTAGTTCGTTATTATTTACCTGAATAACCGAACTCAGTTGTATTTTGCTTGATTCAATCCAATAAAAACCGAGTTTCCGATCTAAAAGTACTGTTTTGTCCCTTGTTGATATTTGCATATCAACAGTGATAATAAGAAACTATGTTCTTTGGCCATCGGTGAAGATAGCTTCAAAGCAATCAAATGAAGGGGAAGAGGACTACTTATTAATTAGTATTAAAATACTAATGTTCTGCAGAGATCTACGACCCATGTTTCAATAATGTATCAACATTTGCCTCGGTTTCTTTGTTGTCAATAAGAAAATAAATATACTGTATTATATAGTATTCATTAAAAAAATGTTGATGTGTTATATATAAATTATACATCTACTAAAAGTACAAGTTTCTTTAACTTAATCAGAGTTCTACTCACACATACCAGATCTCGAGCGAAGTATTTCAGGGATTTGGGTATGAAGAAGCTTTTGATAACAGTCGTCACTTGCTTACTACTTTCGTCAGTGATGTTACTCTCATTCTCCAACAACTTCAAAAACCAGCTTCTTGATGCTACTACCAATGGTAAAATCATATTCATCTTTTGGATTTCGTTAGCTCAAGAATGCTCCTTTGACTTCATATCTCAATTTTTCTTGTGATAGTCTCAAAGGAATCCGTTAAACCGGTGGACAAACTGGTAGGAGGTCTTCTTGCTGCAGGGTTTAATGAAGATTCTTGTTTGAGTAGAAACCAATCTTCGTTGTATCGCAAGCCTTCACCTTACAAACCCTCTGAATACCTTGTCTCTAAGCTTAGAAGCTATGAGATGCTTCACAAGCGTTGCGGTCCAGGAACATATGCTTACAAGAGAGCACAGGAGCGGCTTCTTCATGGCGATGAGGATCTTGCAAGAAAATCTAATGCTGAGTTATGCCAATACATCGTGTGTGTGCCACTGCGTGGGCTGGGAAACAGAATGCTTGGACTGACTTCTCTGTTCCTTTATGCTCTCTTAACAGAGAGAGTCATGCTTGTTGACCAACGCAAGGATATGAGTGATCTCTTCTGTGACCCTTTTCCGGGTTCTTCCTGGTTACTTCCTCTGAATTTCCCATTGACGGATCAGATCGATAGCTTCAACTTAGAACACTCGCGTTGTTACGGAACAATGTTGAAGAATCATGCTATTAACTCCACTACAATCCCGTCACACCTTTATCTTCATCTTCTCCACGATCATGGTGATTATACTAAAATGTTCTTCTGCGAAAAAGATCAAACTGTCATCAGGAAAGTGCCTTGGCTGGTCGTGAAATCAAACCTTTACTTTGTCCCATCTCTATGGTTGATCCCTAGTTTCCAAACCGAACTCATCAAGCTATTCCCACAGAAAGAGACCGTCTTCCACCATTTGAGTAGGTATCTTTTTCACCCGACAAACCAAGTTTGGGGTATGGTCACTAGCTCCTACAACGCTTACTTAGCCAGAGCAGACGAGAGACTTGGCATTCAAGTAAGGGTTTATAGCAGACCCGCTGGATATTTCCAGCACGTCATGGACCAGATTGTAGCCTGTACGCAAAGAGAGAAACTGTTGCCTGAAGCAGCTGCACAAGAAGAAGAATCACAAGTCACTAATAATAATACATCGAAAATCCCCAAAGTTAAAGTTGTCCTGGTCACATCACTGCATCCAGAGTACTCTGATAACCTAAGGAACATGTACATGAAACGCCCTACTTGGACAGGAGACATTGTACAAGTGTATCAGCCAAGTGGAGACAGGTTTCAGAAGGTAGACGAGAAGATTCATGAGCAAAAGGCGCTCGCGGAGATATACCTACTAAGCCTAACTGATAAGCTCGTCACAAGCGCATGGTCTACATTTGGATACGTAGCTCAAGGTCTTGGAGGGTTAAAGCCATGGATACTCTACAAGCCAGAGAACAGAACAGCTCCTGATCCGCCATGTGTTCGGGACTATTCGATGGAGCCTTGTTTCCTTAAACCAGCTCTATATGGTTGTGAAGCTAAGGCAGAGATAAATGCCCCTTTTTTAAGGCATTGTCATGATCGAACTTGGGGGGTTAAGCTTGTTGATTCCCAAGACTAATCTTTTCTAATTTTGAAATAGTACTCGTCGACATTGTTTCATTCCGATCCCTCCATTAATTAATGAAAAAGTCTTGACCTTTTGAGATGCAAAGACGATCAATGAATCAAAATTTTCATGCGTACACTGCAATTTTCGAACCGAACAGGACTTTCACTTCGTGCTCTCACTAGTTATCGTAGCACCATCAATCTCAAGATTTGAAGCTCAACCACTCTCCTAATCGCTACCTTCTCATAATCTTCTCAAAATAATGTAGTTAGGTTATCTGAGTATCTGACAAAACAGAGTTATGGAATCGGTGAGTCACTCGCGAGTGATGACTGATTAACTGATAAGGAGATACTCGGGTCAAATTAGTGTCTCGTATTTCTAGTGTCAATATTATATTTTTTCCTATATAAAAATTAAAATAGTCAGTATTAACCTTCCCTATTAAAATGTCAATACTCAATAGCCAACACATATCTCAACATTAAATTTAAAGATTATTTTCCAATTTTAGTTTAAACCATTAAGCCTTCTATGGAGATTCTATTAGTATTTACTAATTTATTTCTATTGACCTACATATATATTGTGTCTATATATACTAACAAATATATGGAAATAATCATATTACATTCATCCTAAATCTTAGTCAATGTTACCTTACATGTTGTTAATACTGCCTTATTAAAATATAGTAATGTTCTTTTTAGCAGATTGAGATCATTTTTTTTTGCTTTGACAGCATATTGAGATCTAATCAACATAAATACAATGCGTGTATGTACTAATTTATATATATGAACTTTTTAAGATTAAGCTCTCTTTGTTCAAATTAAACAGAAAAAAAATCTGCTCTTTTTCTTTCTGTATTTTTACTCACCTCTTTCTTCTTCTTTGTTTTCAAATTTTTATTGGTATTCTGTTCTTTTGACTTTGCTTTTCTTGAATTTTTGAAAAACATTTTTGACTAAAAACATGTTTTATTGTGTTCATGAATGTTTCTTCAGCTAAATGTGACTTCAATAAAAATGTTTTCTTTTTGATTGTTGTTTGATGAACACGATGGGTACCAAACAATCATTTGATCCATTTGTTGGAGAACAGGCATATTATCAGAGATCCATTCAACCAACAACATATGATCAATGCATAAAGGTAAATTATGAATTTATATACGCTTATAACTTTATATTTTTTGTCATGTTCATATTTAAGTTCAAATTCAATATATGATTCAATATTTGTAGATGCAAAACACGATTCAACAAAATCATTCAAGAAAAGTAATAATCTTAGGTTTACGACAATAAATTTTGTTTAGATGTCTTCTTAGTCTAGAGGTCTTAATATTAGAATTTCATTAAAGGTCTTTTTGAAAGTATATCAATATACATCTACTCTCTAAGGCTATATTAATATCGGTATAGTGAAATGGAGCCGCACAAGAAGTAGCTCTTGGGTTTCTTTATCAAAAGAAAAAGAAAAAATGCATGCTCCAAAACAAATATTAAAAATTCTAGACCAAAAAAAACTAGTGGTAACAACAACTAACAAGTAACATTCTCTAAAAAGAAAAAAAAAACATGTATGCCTCGATATGTCCTATGTGGCTATAATTTGATGTGGATTTAATACTTTGGTTTAGGCTGGTTTTAATAGTTGATTTCGGTTGGTTAAGTGAAATGTCGGGCTAGGCTTTTATCCCTTAAATATGGGCTTAATTGTATAAGGCCCAGTGGTAACAATTTTAATTTAACCGTTGGAACAGAGTAACGACCCTGGTGAAGGTAGTTTGTTTTTAGAGAGGGAAAGCTACTCAATAATCAAATATATACAAAAGCAATAAGTTTTCATAACAATTAAAATATAGAAAATAGACGTATAATAAAAACTTTAAATGTCGTCATTGTTAATAGGGATGGGATCTCATATATATAAGTTGTCTACTGAATTGATATGGAGGCTCAAGTTAGGCTATTCTAGGAAGCTAAATCGAACTTGTGTACTTTCTTTCTTCTTAGTCAACAACGTGAATTTTCGGATCTGATCAGCTATGATTATTTTTGTTAGAATAAATAAATGAATATGATTTGTTCAAATATAATAATACATGGTTATAGAGAAAAAAATAGTAATAATACACGACATGTGATATTATAACGATTCTTGATAACTCTGAGAAACTCTCTCATTGGCCATTTCATCGTTAATTAAGTAGGCAATACAACTTGATGATTCGAATACATCGAAGATCAAAACTTGTATATATTAAACAAAAGTAGAGTCACGTTCGGAGTTCGTTGATAGTCACAACTTAACAATGACACATTAGAAGAATATTCAAACTTATTTAGTTATTTATAAATTATCAAGTTTCGTCCACGTTAAATCACAGTAATAGTTGTAATCAGGCTGCATATATAAACTCAGCTTGAATCAGCTCCTAATAATAACCAATAAAACTAAAGTCAACATGTATCAAATATTTCAGATCTCCGGCGATGTTTTCAGGGCTTTGGGTTTGAAGATGAAAATTCTGATAACAGTCATCTTTAGTGGCTTACTAATTTTGTCTGTTGTCTTACTATCATTCTCAAACAACTTCAACGACCAACTTATTGATGCTTCAATCAAAGGTACACAAAATAAACGTTAATCTTTTGTGTTTTATTGTGTTAACTCAAGAATTGCTCCTTTTGAAGTTTATACATTTTCATTTTCTTGTGATTATTAGGGTCACCTGAGTCCGAAACACCAAGGGATAAATTGATAGGAGGGCTTTTAACCACAGATTTCAATGAACGTTCTTGCGTGAGTAGGTATCACCAATCATTGTTGTATCGCAAGCCTTCACCGTACAAGCCTTCTGAATATCTTGTCTCAAAGCTAAGAAGCTATGAGAAGCTTCACAAGCGTTGTGGTCCAGGCACAAGAGCTTACAAGAAAGCTACAAGGAATCTTAGTCATGATGATGGGAATTATGCAAGCAAATCTGTTGGTGAATGCAGATACATTGTGTGGGTCGCGGTTTACGGGCTTGGCAACAGAATACTAACTCTTGCCTCTGTTTTCCTCTACGCTCTCTTGACAGAGAGAGTCGTTCTTGTTGATCAAAGCAAAGACATTAGTGACCTCTTCTGCGAGCCATTTCCAGGTACTTCATGGTTACTTCCTGTTGACTTTCCATTGATGAAACAGATTGATGGATACAACAAGGAATACTCTCGTTGTTACGGAACAATGTTGAACAATCATGCCATTAACTCAACTTCAGTCCCAAGGCATCTATATCTTCATATTATACATGATTCAAGGGATGAAGATAAGATGTTCTTCTGCCAAAAGGATCAAGCTTTAATCGATAAAGTCCCTTGGTTGATTGTCAAAGCCAATGTCTACTTTGTTCCATCTCTATGGCTTAATCCAACTTTCCAGACCGAACTAATGAAGCTCTTCCCGCAAAAAGAAGCTGTCTTTCACCATCTGGCTCGGTATCTTTATCACCCGACAAATCAAGTTTGGGGTATGGTCACTAGGTACTACAATGCTCACTTAGCCAGAGCAGACGAGAGACTTGGGATTCAAATACGGGTTTTCAGCGACCAAGCAGGGTATTTCCAGCACGTCATGGACCAGATCTTGTCATGTACACAAAGAGAGAAACTATTACCTGAAGTTGTTTCACAGGAAGAATCGAAAGTCAACATATCGCAAAGCCAGAAACTTAAAGCTGTTCTTGTCACGTCTCTGTATCCAGAGTACTCTGATCGCTTAAAGAACATGTTTTGGGAACGACCGAGTTCGACAGGAGAGATAATTGAGGTTTATCAGCCAAGTGGAGAGAGGGTTCAACAAACAGACAAGAAGCTTCACGACCAAAAGGCGCTCGCAGAGATGTATCTTCTTAGTTTAACAGATAAGATTGTCACAAGCGCAAGGTCTACATTTGGATATGTTGCGCATAGTCTTGGAGGATTAAAGCCATGGTTACTCTATCAGCCAAAGGAGGCTAAAGCTCCTGATCCACCGTGTATTCGATCCACGTCGATTGACCCTTGTCACCTTACTCCTCCGTCTCATGGATGTGATGCCGAATGGGGAACTGACTCGGGAAAGGTTGTTCCTTTTGTAAGGCATTGTGAGGATCGTGAGAATGATGGGCTTAAGCTATTTGACGAGTTATAGATCTTGTTTATCATAGCTGATTTCATTGGATTATTGAGTTATTGAAACAGAGGATCAATTTTTATATTTTTCGTCTATAATAATCATCACTTTAGTTGAGATTCAGTTTTTAATTAAAAACAAAAAAGAATCATGTTTGTACGCTTACAACTGACACTTTACAGTTTACTATGGTATCCTCTGTATTGATATGTTAATGCATAGAAACAATTTAGCTGTCAATAACGTTTACAAGGTTTCACTGGTTTATAATAAATAGCAGTTTACATTTACTTATATCACTTATATTATTTGTTTTCATGACACAGAAAGTGGAAACTGCATCGTACGCAACGAGCTTTGAAAATCCTCTGTTCCAAGCTGATGAGCAAAGTTTCTACCTTTATGGTTCCTCTGTTCTCAAGCTGTGTTCCCGTCTTTGTCTTTTTCTGTCAGAAGAAGCCCTGAAGATACTTATACCACTGTATAAATAGAAGAACAAGTGCATTTACATGAACAGTGAGCTCCCATCCTCATTACGCTGATGCAGATCCCAAATTTCTTGTCAACTGATAAATAACTATGTTCTCAATACCTACAACTAACTGTGTTTCCACATCCTCGCCTGACCTTTTCAATATAGGCTCTTCATACTTGGAACATTCTTGAGATCGAAGTCTCTTGGCCTTTAATCTAGCATAAGCTTTCCCAAAGCATCAAATGCAACATTGTAGCAAACCCTATCAAGTGAAACGTTCTTGTCTCTAAACTCTTTGAGCAGATCATAAGCTTCCTACAACTTTTACCCGTCTGAGAACAGCACAGAAGGATCGAGCTTGCAATCAGAAAGTTCATTCTTTTACCTTTCTGCGCTATTGTATCAAAAAAACAAAAATGCAAAGCTTTTGGGAGATTCATGTTCTTGCGATGTCCTTCAATTATCGCTGAGTAAACACACACATCCTGATCAATCCCAGTTTCCTCAATGTCAAGAACAACTGCTTCAGCAGCGTCTATTTTCATCTCGTTGCATTAAACTGCAGACCAAAAGCACGTAAGTATGTGCATCCACATCCAGCCCCAGCCCCGCTAATTGCCAGAAACTAGACTCCGCCATATCAGTTTTTCCGGAAGCAATCATACGGTTCATCAGAGAATTCAATGCCTTTGCATCCGGAGCACAACCGGGGATTCTTCTGGAAGAAAATAAACCGATAGCTTCGTCAAAATTTACTAGATTAGCATAGGCTTTGACCAAGGCACTAAAGACCCGGCTCAACAACACCAAGCAACCGTGACACTCAAAACGGCTTTCTCCATCTCCTTTCCTAAAGAGTTCAACAACCAACGGATCCAATTTCTTCTCCCCAATCCCCTAACTACAAACAATGCTGATAACAGTCGCATAAGCTTGGACACTAAGCCCTATTTCCTTCAATTCGTTTCAGAGACGATAAAGCAAGAGAAAGATCATCCCTCACAATAGCTAAAACTCGCAAACGCCCAATTTCGTTCAATTCCACTGCTTTACCATCAAAGTTACCTTCTTTCACTTTCTCCGAATGTGAGATTCTTGGGTTCGTCAAGTGCAGGAACCACGTACAAACGCGAATTGGGTGCTCTTCAAATCAATCGTCTCACATGTGAGAGTAATGGATCGGAAACACCCGCATGAAATACTTCCCGCCGTTCCTGTGGCGGCCGGAGAAACAACTAGCAGCGACTATCTGAAAAGAGATTCGATCTCCGTCTCCGATACCGACGAAAGAAACTAACGACGATTTAGCTTGAAAGATAAGAGGGGTTTACAAGAACCAAAACCGAACCGGTTCCAACCCAAAAGAAATTAAAATCAATGTCGAACCGAAACTTGATAACCTGATATAACCGAATTTTTCGGGTGGGGTCCTCTGTTTATCTAATTTTTTTTTCTCTCGTTAAGCAAACACAAATCATATCCTCGAGAATAATTTGGAAATGGAGAGAAATGTAGGCTCTTCTGTGAAAAAAACAATGGCCAAGAAATGTATTTACAGCTGTATCAACCAAGCCAAGAAATGTATCAACAACTAAGAATATTTTTTTCATTTTGGAAACAATTAATTACAAAAATGGATATGGAAACATATTTATTATTGCTGGACATCATATGGAAACATATTTCAAATAATCAAACATGATAGGTAACAAATATGACGTGTAATCTTATTAGATAGGAAAGTGCTTTTCTCTAATTCTCTGTTTTAACATCTTTTTTAGTAGTACCTTTGCCTTTAAGATTTGAAGAAAAAATATTCAATAATACCTTTTTAGAGCATCTCTATTAACAGTGCATGACATGGCAGTCCATTTCCATCTCTCTCATCCTGAAACCAGAATCATTATGAAAAAACAGGAAGAAAACATTTCGTTTGGGATCTCACGTATGATGAAACTCATAATAACAATCACTACTTGCTTAATACTTTGCTCGGTGCTACTACTCCCAATTTCCAACATCTTCAATCGCCACAAGTCTGATCATACAATCACCGGTAACAATTGCGTTAATTTATTTCAATATTGGCAAAACAAACAGAAATTCTCACTTTGACTTTTCTATCTTTTGTGTTCTATAGAAGGTTCAAATGAACCAAGGATGAAACTGGAAGGAGGGCTTCTTGCAACAGAGTTTGATGAGGAATCTTGCTTGAGTAGGTATCATCAGTCGTCTTTGCGCAAGTCTTCACCATACAAACCTTCTGACTATCTCGTCTCTAAGCTTAGAAGCTACGAGATGCTTCACAAGCGTTGCGGTCCAGGCACAGATGCTTACAAGAGAGCTACAGAGCAGCTTGGTCACAACCATGTAATAAGAAGCTCTGGTAATGATGAGTGCCGATATGTAGTGTGGACGCCTATGTTTGGGCTGGGAAACAGAATCCTTTCTCTGGTCTCTGACTTCCTCTATGCTCTCTTGACAGACAGAGTCATGCTTGTTGACCAAAGAAACGATATAAGCGACCTATTCTGCGAGCCTTTTCCTGGTATTTCCTGGTTACTTCCTCTTGACTTTCCATTGACGGATCAGATAGATAGCTTCAACCGAGAACATTCTCATTGTTACGGGAATATGTTGAAGAATCATGCCATTAACTCAACTACAATACCGTCCCATCTTTATCTTGACATTTTCCATACTTCCAAGGAGCATGATAATATGTTCTTCTGTGAAAAAGACCAAGCTTTCATCAAACGTGTCCCTTGGCTAGTAGTAAAATCCAACCTTTACTATGTTCCATCTCTGTGGTTGATCCCTAGTTTCCAAACCAAACTCATCAAGCTATTCCCACAGAAAGATACTGTCTTCCACCATTTGAGTCGGTATCTTCTGCACCCGACGAACCAAATTTGGGGAATGGTCACTAGATCCTACAACGCTTACTTATCAAGAGCAGACGAGAGACTTGGGATTCAAGTAAGAGTGTTTAGCACGCCCGCTGGATATTTCCAGCACGTGATGGACCAGATCTTATCTTGTACAGAAAGAGAGAAACTACTGCCTGCAGTAGCTATAGAAGAAGAATCACAAGTCAGTAATACATCGACAATCCCAAAACTTAAAGCTGTAATGGTCACGTCTCTGCATCCAGAATACTCTGATCACTTAAAGAATATGTTTTGGGAACGTCCGAGTTCAACAGGAGAGATAATTGAAGTTTATCAGCCAAGTGGAGAGAGGGTTCAACAAACAGACAAGAAGCTTCACGACCAAAAGGCCCTCGCAGAGATGTATCTTCTGAGTTTAACTGATAAACTTGTCACAAGCACAAGGTCTACATTTGGATACGTAGCTCAAGGTATTGGAGGAATTAAGCCATGGATACTCTACGAGCCAAGGCACCGCAAAGCTCCTGACCCACCGTGTGTTAGGGCCATGTCGATGGAGCCTTGTTCTCTTAAACCTCCTCTCTCTCGTTGTCAAGCCAAGACGATCAAAATCACCCATTTCATTAGGTATTGTGAGGATCGTATCACAGGGATTAAGCTAGTAGATTAATTTTGATATGTTCCTCATTTTTTCCTAAAAAATCCCTAAAATACTCGAAATAATCACCAAATTTTGTTTTTTTGTTTCATGTCTGAGTGATTCAGTTTCCTAACAACCTTCCTTTCTTTTACTAACTAAGCTGAGTTTAATTTGAAATCTAAAATATATAAACTTATGTGTTATCTACTTAGCTCATAGTAGTTTACTAAGAATTTTGACTTGGCTGCATTTGTATCCGAACACAAGACAAATGCACTAATATAGAACTGTTGCTTGTTCTATTTTAAACCAAATTACAAATGTAATGTAGTTTCGCAAAATTAAATAACTCTCATTCAAATGTAATGGTCACATTCACACACAAAATAAAAATAAAAACTGGTACTAATTACTTTTTTTCTCTCTTCTCCTTTTTTCTTTGATCTTCTCCTTTTCTGATTTTTGTTTTTCATTTGATAGAAGCTGCTTCCAAGAGCAAGGAGATCGATCCTCTACCCAATGGTAAGAGTTTGTGGCTTTTTTATGTTTTTATTTCTATATTGCAACATTTTTTCTGATCATTTCATTTGTTTTTTTTATGATATAGCTTGGTATGAAGAGTTGGTGAAGCCAAAGCCGACTGGGAAGAAGAAGTTTGTTTTTTTCTGATCTTTTTCGTTTTTTCTTCTTTTTATTTTCTCTGATCTATAACAAAAAATGGATAAAGTAATAATCAAAATAATGTTAAAATAATACCATCTAATTTTTGCACAAAAATTGTATGAAAATCATATTAGTTACAAAAGTATTGAATGGTTGTTTAGGATATATGAAAGACTAAATATGGTTCAGGCTTCCCACTAGAACGATTATGTAGTTCTGATTTCATTATTTTGTCATAATTTGTTTATTATGACAAAACAATAACCCGTTTGTTACATCTGATTACTCATCCGTTTGGACTCATTCATTGTTTTGATTTCATGTTGGTTTGCTTGATCAGAAATATTTGTATATTGATCAAAAGAACAGCTAGAACAGAAATATTTCACATCCCATATATGATATGACATAAATAACAATATAAGTCTTGTGCTTGCACAAAAAAAATAGAAGAGTTGTGTGTAATGAATTTAATTTTTTGTATGTTATATGTGTTACCTGGCCTAAACCTAAATTTAAGGTGAAGCCTAATTTCATATAGGCTCATTTGAATATTAGGATTGGAAACAAATACCTTTTGATGAATGAGGATATAGAAGAGTTGCTTGTTTTATTTTAAAACCAAATTACAAATGTAACACATTTTAAAAAAAAAAACCCTCACATTCAATTTTGATTTGTCCCCAAAACGCTCAAACTGTTGATCAGTTGATGTTATGATGGTCATAAATCACACACAAAATAAAAATAAAAACTGTTAGGATTAGTTATGAGGAAATTATGTGAGACCAGAGGGATTACAGATCTAAGAGATATGTATAGTTTAGTTAGTAATACCACTAATTACAAACCCCAAATTTGTGAGATTGGATATGGATTGTTTGCATCTTGTAGCTCTGACTGAAAAAAAAAAGTTATTATGTAATTTAAGTTCTTCAATGTTGAGATTTCATAATCGTAATGTTTCTATAAATATTATCTTGCTAGTTTAACCGAGGAAAGAAGATCTGATCAAAACAAGACCTTTTCAAGGTTTTGTTTTTTTCTTCTACACCTTTTGATGGTCCCACTTCTCCAAACTCTTCACTAAAAGACAGAACTTTATTGTAATATTGACATTTTTTTTTTTGAATATTTCCCATTTGAAACTGACTAAAAAGAAAATGAAAACCTCTTTTTTCAGAACAGAGCAGGAGTCAATTTCCCTCGCTTTCAACTAACATAACTGAAGTACATATACGGACAAATCAAGATTGAGTAGAAACAGAGAAGACATCAGCTCCTCACTAAATCTCTGGAGAATCTTGAATGAGATCTGTCACGATGAAGTCCACAAGAACATTCATCACCTGCTTTGGACTCTGCTCCATGCTTCTACTTGCATTCTCTAACATCTTCAATCGCCAGCCGTCGGATCTTGACCCACCACCTAAAGTTACTACCACCACAGGTACACGATCATTCATCCTTCTCTTCTGTTCTGTTCCTTTGAAACAAAACTTTCTCATTTGCTTCGATCTCTCTCCTTCATTTTTCTTGTAATAGATTCAAAGGATCCTGAAAATCCAAGGGACAAACTGCAAGAAGGGCTTCTCGCTACAGAGTTTGACGAAAGCTCTTGTCTGAGTAGGTACCAATCTTCAATGTATCGCAAGCCTTCACCTTACAAACCTTCTCAGTATCTCATCTCTAAGCTTAGAACCTATGAGAGGCTTCACAAGCATTGTGGTCCAGACACAGAAGCTTACAAGAGATCAAAAGAACAGCTTGATCAACACGTCACACTTTCAGGCAGCTCTGGTGAGTTATGCCAATACATCGTATGGGTTCCGTTGTCTGGTCTTGGAAACAGAATACTCTCTCTGGTCTCAGTGTTCCTCTACGCTCTCTTGACAGAGAGAGTCATTCTTGTTGACCAAAGGAACGATATAAGAGATCTCTTCTGCGAGCCTTTTCCAGCTACTTCATGGTTACTTCCTCTTGACTTTCCCCTGACGGATCAGTTCGATAGCTTTAACTGGCGCACACCGATTTCTTACGGTAACATGTTGAAGCGTCATGTGATTAACTCCTCGACAGAAACATTCCCATCATATCTTTACCTCCATCTTGTTCACAATTACGGGGACTATGACCAGATGTTTTTCTGCCAAGGAGATCAATCGCTGATCAAGAAAGTCCCTTGGCTGATCGTTAAATCAGACAATTACTTTATACCGTCTCTATGGTTAATCCCTAGTTTCCAGCCTGAGCTAAGCAAGCTATTCCCGCAGAAAGATACCGTCTTCCACCATTTAGCTCGGTATCTTATTCACCCAACAAACCAAGTCTGGGGCTTGGTCAGTAGATTCTACGATGCCTACTTATCAAGAGCAGACGAGACACTCGGGATTCAAGTGCGGGTTTTCCATCGTGCAGGGTTTCACCAGCTTGTAATGGATCAGATTGTATCTTGTACACAAAGAGAGAATCTCTTGCCTGAAGCAGCAGCTTCACAAGAAGAAGATTCACAACAAGTAACAAATATATCAAGAATCCAGAAACTTAAAGCTGTTCTTGTCACATCTCTGAATCCAGAGTACTCTAATAGCCTAAAGAGACTGTACTGGGAAGGATTGAGTTTCACAGGAGACATAGTCGGAGTTTACCAACCAAGTCAAGAAATGTACCAGCAAAGAAACAAAAAGCTTCACAACCAAAAGGCCCTTGCTGAGATGTATCTACTGAGCTTGACTGATAACATTGTCACAAGCGCATGGTCTACATTTGGATATGTTGCTCAGGGTCTTGGAGGAATGAAGCCATGGATACTCTATAAGGTAGAGAACTACAAGGCTCCTGATCAACCATGTGTGCGTGCCACGTCAATGGAACCCTGTTTTCATTCTCCTCCGTTCAATGGTTGCGAAGCCGATACAGGAACTGATGCATGGAAAACAGTACCTTACGTAAGGCCTTGCGAGGATCGGATTTCTGGGCTTAAACTATTTGATCACCCAGAAGAGTTATAAGATTATACAGAATCTTTGATGAAATACCTCTTTGTTGCTTAAAAGCCTGAATAATATCCAAAGTTTGTTAACCGTCACTGTGATGCATTATTTAGTTTTGGGAAATGGTGAGATGCCATCTAACATATTTCTACTCTTGGCAAGTCCGATTGCAAGTGCTACGGAAGAAGAAACCGCCATTTTCCTAGCACTGAAAATATGAGAACATGATTAGCACGCTAATAACTGTATCTTACTGAACTTCGTTATTTAAACCCTAAACCCCCCAACAAGTAATCAAATTTTATATTTTCCACAAAAAAATGTGCTGGGGGAACAAATTAACAACAATCTCAAATACCCGATGTATGCATATGAATCAGGTTACCTTTTCGTATGTATTGGTTAATATGTCACATTCTTAAGTTCATTAAGCTAATTAAAAAAAAAATAGAACATGATTCATTTGACAAAGCAATCCAAATAATGATAGAGGACAAGTGATGCAGTAAAGTTGATGGGGAAGTGAATTTAAAGATAAAGATTAAAGCATACCTTGTAGATCTCTTTTCCTTCACCACTTGATGGTCACAATATGACACTCCGTTTATATTTTCCCTCGCTTTCAGCATGCATGAAACGTGAATCAATATATAATATATTATAAGCACCAGAGTAAGTAGAAACCAGAAACAAAGTAATAAGCAAATAACACATCTCAGTTTCAGATCTCTGGAAAAGTTTTTCTGGTCTATAGGTATGAATCGTATGATGATAAAGCTCACGATAACAGTCGCCACTTGCTTCCTACTTAGCTCGGTGCTATTACAACCATTCTCCAACACCTCCAACTGCCACCAGTCTCATGTTACTACCACTGGTACGTACGTAAGATCATTTCATCTTTTGATTTTGTTAATTCCGAAGATCAGGCAAAACTCACTGTATTTTTCAATTTCCTGTAGGCACAAAGGATTCAGAAACACCAAGGGATAAACTGGTAGGAGGGCTTTTAACCGCTGATTTCGATGAAGGTTCTTGCTTGAGTAGGTATCATCAGTCTTTGCTGTATCGCAAGCCTTCACCATACAAGCCTTCTCAATATCTTGTCTCTAAGCTTAGAAGCTATGAGAAGCTTCACAAGCGTTGTGGTCCAGGCACAAACGCTTACAAGGAAGCAACAAAGAATCTTGGTCATGGTGATGATGATAATAATGCAAACAAATCTGATAGTGATTGCAGATACATTGTGTGGGTGCCGGTTTTCGGGCTTGGAAACAGAATACTTACTCTTGCTTCTGTGTTCCTTTATGCGCTCTTGACTGAGAGACTCATTCTTGTTGACCAACACAAGGACATAAGTGATCTCTTCTGTGAGCCTTTTCCAGGTACTTCCTGGTTACTCCCTCTGGACTTTCCACTCGCAGATCAGTTAGGCAGGTTCGATCAAACATACTTGTTTTGTTACGGAACTATGTTGAAAAACCATGCCATTAACTCGACTACATCAGAAAGAATCCCGTCGCACCTTTATCTTCACCTTATCGGTGGTTACAGAGATCATGATAAGATGTTCTTCTGCGAGACAGATCAATCTGTCATCGGGAAAGTCCCTTGGCTTGTCGTCAAATCAAACCTTTACTTTGTTCCATCTCTATGGTTGATCCCCAGTTTCCAAACCGAACTGAGCAAGCTATTCCCACAGAGAGATACCGTCTTCCACCATTTGAGTCGGTATCTTTTTCACCCGACAAACCAAGTTTGGGGAATGGTCACAAGGTCCTACAAGGCTTACTTGTCTAGGGCAGATGAGACACTCGGGATTCAAGTACGGGTTTTTGGCGAACGCGCTATATATCTCCAGCATGTCATGGACCAGATCCTAGCCTGTACACAAAGAGAGAAACTGTTGCCTGAAGCAGCTCCACAAGAAGAAGAAACACAAGTCAATGTATCAAAAAGCGCCAAAGTGAAAGCCGTGCTAGTTACTTCTCTGAGTTCTGGATATTCAGAGAATCTCAAGAGTATGTACTGGGAATACCCGAGTTCAACAGGAGACATTGTTGTAGTTCACCAGCCAAGTCAAGAAGGGCATCAGCAGACAGACAAGAAGCGTCATGACCAAAGGGCGCTCGCCGAGATGTATCTTCTAAGCCTAACTGATAAACTTGTGACCAGCGGTTGGTCTACTTTTGGATACGTAGCTCAAGGTCTTGGCGGATTAAAGCCTTGGATACTTTACAAGCCTGTAAACCACAAAGTTCCTGATCCCCCATGTGGTTGTGCCATGTCCATGGAACCGTGTTTCCATTCACCTCCAGCATATGGCTGTAAAGGTAAGACCGGAATCAAGACAGGAAATATGGTCCCTTATGTGAGATATTGTGAGGATAGAAGCTGGGGACTAAAGCTAGTTCAAGTTCCGCTATGAGTTTTAGCTTCTTTCCACTCCCCATTTTGCCTACTACTACTCTCATATAGCTAGCTCAAATACTCGTATGCATATGAGTCCGGTTACTTTTATGTATGTATGGGTTCATATGTCGCATGCTAAAACTTACTTTATCTATTTATTTATTTTTTTTTGTTTTCTTGAACAGCGCTAAAGCTTACTTAGCAGTTCACAAGGCAATCCAAACTTATGTTACACGACAAGTGATACATTTTCATCATGTGATTTGAAAACAGGGAGCCAAACATAACTTATGCAATGGGTTGGTAATAGTTGTTCTCAAATAAGCCACTCAACTAGTAGTTAAATTTCAAAATTTCCACAAAATATCTGGATGCCCGGTTTGGAACAAATGAACAGTATCATTAGACTCCAATTCTCGGTGTCATCAGCTAATTTTATTGCATGCAATGGGTTGGTAAGTCACATTCTAAAGTTTACATAACTAATCAGAAAGAATAGAATATGGTTTAGTCGACAACTATTTTACAGAACAAGCAATGCCATTAAGTTAAGTTAGCTTCGGTTGAGAATTCGACGTCATAATGGTTAAGAGAGATTATGTAGCCAATTTAGCAGTCATGCTCAGGAAGTCAGGATAATGATCGAAACATACCTTTTAGAGAATTCGACCCCGAATCCTTGACCTCTTGATGGTCGTCACATCATGACAGTTTATTTTCCCTCGCTTTCAACATGAAAACGAGAATCAATATATATATAATATAGGCACCAGAGTAAGTAGAAACCATCACCAAAGTAACCAAACAAATAACGTGTCAGACCCTTTGGCAGAAAAACTGAGTCAGCCCCTCCAGCTTATGGCTGCGAAGGTAATGCCGGAATCAACACGGGAAAGATCGCACCTTTTGTGAGACATTGTGAGGATAGAAGCTGGGGGATTAAGCTAATTCGAAGCTCCTGATGAGTTTTCGCTTCTTCCATTCCCCAAATTTACTTACTATGTAAACCTATGAAATTAGAGATTTCACCTTAATTCGCAATCGTCTCCTTCCTTTTGTATTGAGATTTTCGTGTTCTGTCGAATCTCGATGAAACTGCCAATTGTTGATGTTTACGGGATCAGAAATTGCACGATTTCTTTTCTTCTCTCGGAGTGAACGGAAGGGGCGGGGATCGGTGAGTCAGATCGCGAGTGATGCTGAGTAAACTCGCCAGGCTTAGGAGATGAACACGTGATTAGCACGTGAACAATATCAGACACCTATCTTTTAGAAAGCCCTTCCATTAAAATAAATTTAATTTAATTGTATTCCACGTGATACATTTAATTTTCATCGTAGCCTTGTATTTTCTCTACTTTCAATCGTAATGACTGGAATAGAAAGCAGGATACTATTTAGAAAAGAAAAATAAGAACAATCAAATTTATATAACATAATCCACTCTAACATAAAACAAAATATTACTACATGTTATCTGATCTCATAATCATATCTATTAATTAGATAGAATACAAAATTATATTAACCAAATTGGTGAATGAATGAATACATGGAACTAAAACCCTATTCATCGTACGTATGAATCTGGTTTGGCTTAACAAGTGACGACAGAGTTTTTTCCCATTAACGGTTTTTTTGTTTTTTTTTTTTAAGGTTAATGTTTATTGTCGGTAAGAAAATATTGACCTCGTTACTTCGAAGTTCAAGAGTGTTTTTGAAATTGAAATTTTATATACTCAAAATCTTGCTTCTAGTCTTTTTCTTTTTCTTTTCCCAGAAGATTATATCATATAATCATTACACAGAAAAAGATAATGAGAATTGCATCTTTATTTGCCATTATTAGGGACGAAAAATCCAAACAATATTCAAGCCATACATAGATTTTCAGATTTTGGTTCGTATAATACAACCATATTAAGTGTATCTTTGGGTCACTTAGGTCTTTTATATGGTTATATATTTTAGAGATTCGCCATCATGCATACTATGGCTCATTCTAATCTTTCTTAGTTCTCCATCGCTGATTGGCTTGTATAGGCGTGGATGTTGAGCATCCACAAATTCACTTGGAGGTTCAACATCTAGATCCGTTGGTGTTAATAGGAACGAGGAGATAGTAATCCTCCTTGCTGCTTTTTTGCATTGCACTCTATGCTTCACATTGCACAACCTCCCATTGCTCCATATCTATATGATCAGCAAAGTTTCAATGACCAACAATTAAACACGCGAATTTAGCAACGAGTTATTTCATGGCTAATTTTATGGTTCAATTTCAAAAACATTTTTGAGCTAATATTAACTGATGATCTCACCCTAGCCATGTCACCAAGGTTGACAGTAAGTGTGTTTGGCAACGTGTTTATGGGGAAATAGGTTCCTGAGCAAGTGTCCAAGGCTTCAAGTCCACCACAATCTTCATCACCTTGAAGAATTGTTAAGAATCCAGGATCTGTGTGTACTATCAAACCACTTCTACCAATTGTTTCTGGTTTGAAATGATATTTGCTTATCCGAGATTGGATCGGCCATCCTTTGCAAAAATCGGTCTTCTCTAATTCGTAACTCTCTCCTAATCTCCTAACTAAATCCTTTGCAAGACCATCCATTGCTTTGCCGTACTTTACTAAAATTTCCCTGCAACAAGTAAAGAAACAGAAACCAAAACCATTTTTAAGACATAAGATCAAAGATCCATCTCAAGAGAAGGTGCCCATAACCGACCAAAACCAAACAACCCGTATTAAAACCGAATAATGTATATCTTTAAAAATAACAATCACTGAACCAAAACCGGATTAGACTTCCTTAACCATAAACCTTGGTAACCAAATAAAAAGAGGACAGAAGCGAGTAGACAAGGACGGAAAGATAGAGTGAAACAAAAGAAACCTTTGATCAGAAGAGGCCTCGATTTGGTCGCAAAAAGTGTTGACAGCTTTTGGAGAGGCAATGTCATAAAGACCAAATGATTCATAAAGAGGATTCAACTCAATTATAGGCTTGTAACCACTATTTAGTATCACGTCAGTGTTTCGCATCTTCACCTCATTTGGAAGTTCATGGAGATCTGTAACAGTCTTCTTCATCTCAGCCATCAAAGACATAGAAACTCCATGGTTTATCACCTTGAAGCATCCCCATCTCTCACTTGCCTCACGGATTTTCTGGTTCAACATCTTATCCGGAATCTCTTGCAAGTCTATCGTCGGAATGACTTCTTTGAGATCCGCCATTTTGTTTTTTTTTTTCTCCGAAAGAAGTAGAATAGGTTAATTTGTTTTCTCTCTATTTTCAAGACATAACCTTGTCCAAAGTTAAATAGAAGAGCATCCTCCGAAAGAATGACGTGACTGATGATGTAAGAATTGCATTTTCACCAAAGAGATTTTCTCTGTCTAATCATTAAAATAATTTAAAAAAAAAAATCATTGATCAGATTCAGATCAAATCAGTGAGGTAGTTGGAGTCGATCGACGTGGGGGATTCAGCAAACCAAAGAAAAAAAATGTTTATTAAACGTTATGATCTTAATAATTACATGGATGGTCCAACATATAAAAAAAAAAAAAGGAAAAAACGTGAATCACGACATCACGTGTTTCGGACAGCTAATAACCCATGAGAGCTCTGAATGGAGGAGTCATCCATCAGAGCTGTGCGGTCCTAGGAACACCTCCATCGACGAATTTCTCACATGGGGTTCTTATAATAAAGAGTATAATAATGAGGTTAGGTGGGTAAAGAAGAAACCTACACATTCTAAATTACTATACAGTAATTTGTCTTATTAACAAAATCTATATATATATTGCGCATGCATGTGTTTAAAAGAAATAAGAATAGTAATGCGTATGTTTGGTGCGTAATTGAAAATTATATTTTTTACTCCATGCTCGTTGGTGTTTGGTTTACAGAAACTTCATGTATTATATAAACCAAACAAGCAGAAAATCAGGACAAATATTATTTCCACAGCTGATCAAAATGCAAAAATATTCGTACATATTACAAAAATCAAATAGATATGACTATCAGTGACTTGTGCAGAGACAAAAGATGCATCTTTATTTCTCATTTTTTTGAGAAATCTAACATCATACTGCCGTTAGATCATTTAATTAAGTCCTTACATGGGATATAAACTTGAGAGCTAAACAAGCTGCCATACATCAGGAAAAAAAAATTTGACGAAAAAAAAAAAAAAATTTGACGAAGCTGCCATACAACGCGCGTTGAAGATTTTCTCCTACTAACCAGCTGAATCGAGATGGGCCTACTATTAGGCATTCATATCAGTAATGGGCCTCACGTTATCGGCCTGAATTAGTTGACAGTTTTCTTCCGTCACGCAACTTCATAGCGATTTTCGAAGCTAGAATTGACTTCATTTTTTTTTTTTTTTTTTTTTTTTTTTTAGAATTGACTTCATTGATCTCAGTAAACCAGGATAAACACGAAGAAATAAACAGAGAATCAAGAGAAGCATTGCATCCTCAAAGATCTTAATGGTAAATTCTTCATATATATATATATATATATATATATATATATATATTTAGATACATCTTTAATTGTCTCTCATTCTTTTCGGGAAATCTAACAAAATGACTAAGTCTTCTTTTGGTTTCATATCACAACCGCCTTATTCGGTGTTTTAGGTCATTCATAGGTTATAAGCTTGAGGGCTTCTCCATCATGCAATTTCATAGTCATTCTAATATTTCGTATCCCGTCGTGACTAATAGGCTTATATAGGCGTGGATGTTCAGCATCCACAAACTCCTTTGGAGGTTCCAAATCTGTATCCATTGGTCCTAATAGGAACGATGCGATAGAAAACCTCTCTGTTGCTTCATTGCATTGCACTCTATGCTTCACATTGCATAACCTTCCATTGCTCCATATTGCAGCCATGTCCCCGAGGTTGATAGCAAGCGTGTTTGGCAACGGGTTTATGGGAAAGAACGTTCCTGAAGAATGGTCCATGGCTTCAAGTCCACCAACATTTTCATCGTCTTGAAGAATCGTCAAGAACCCTGAATCCGTGTGTAGCTGCACACCGAGTTTCCCTACGGTTTCGGGTTGAAAATGATATTTGTTAATCCGAAACTGGCTAGGCCATCCTTTGAAGAAGTTGGTCTCAGCCAATCCATAACTCTCTGCTAATCTCCTCGCTAAATCCTTTGCAAGACCATTAATAGCTTCGGCATACTTTACCATAATCTCCCTAGAAACCCAAATTCCATCAAGACATGAATCAATGTTGCATCACAAGAGACCCTTTTGAGACCAACCAAAAACAAGAAAAAGGAGAAACCTTTGATCAACAGAAGCGTCGAGTTGGTCACAGAAAGTATTGACAGCTTGAGGAGAAGCCATGTCATAGAGACCCAATGCTTCATAATAAGGATTGGTTTCATTTGGAGCCCTGTAACCACTCCCTAGTAGCACATCTGTGTTACGCACTTTCACCTCGTAGGGACGTTCAAAGAGATCCATAACAGTCTTCTTCATCTCAGACATCAGAGACAATGAAACTCCATGGTTGATCACCCTGAAGCATCCCCATCTCTCACTCGCTTCACGGATTTTCTGGTTCAGTGTCTTATCAGAAACCTCCTCCTCCAAGTCTATCGTCGGAATAACTCCACCGGTTTCCGCCATTATATTCAATGGAGAGCTTGAAAAGAGAGGTCTTTCTCTACTCAACACAACCTAACTCCAATGTTATAAAGAAAATATCAAAGACAATTCTCTGATCAAATCACCAAAGTAGTCTAAATTCGACAGAGACGTTCAGCGAATCAGAAGAAAAAGTTTACAACTTTTTTATCTTATATTGACCAATGATCTAAAACGCGACGACTCCGACATCTAAATTAGTGAAAAGAAATCGAAGAAAATGGATAAACATCAATTACGTCTAAACTGAAGTAACCCAGTAATGAGTTAGGCCGAAATAAACAAGATGATTCATCCATTTACTACTACTTCTGAATACACAACAACTACGTCTAAAAATTGAAGAAAACCCAGAATGAATTAGGCCGAAATAAACAAAAGATGATTCATTACTCTTTGCTTATTCTGGGTAAACATCAATTACGTCTAAATATGAATCTCTTCTTTATCTACTCAAGATGTTTTAGAAATAAAAGGTACCTTAATTCTTCGGAAATCTTGTCGAGAAGTAGATGGAGTGGAAAGTAATTTAGTGAAGGCGAGAAAGCAGACCGAAGTTGAAGACTGGATTCGAACTTGAAGTAATTTGGATCTGCAGAGACTTTTCTACTTGCGACACAGTTGTGTGTTTTCCCCCAAAACTTATATTGATTTTAATTTATAGAGAAGGAAAATGACGTCAATTTGTTTGCGCAACGATTTCCACGCGCTCAACAAAACGAAGAACGTTTCCCACGCGCCTAGCTTCTAAATTTTTTAAGAAAGAAAAAAAATCATGTAAAAAACACATGATTTCATCCTTCCAATGTGGCAATGTCTAATATCACACTACTATAGGGATTCATTTCCTTTACTCTGTTTAATACATGAACGAGAGTCAAATGATACACAAACTTTACTACTACCTGAAATCGTAAATATACATAAATTCGACAATATTCAATAGTATATAGTGCATGCACAAAACACAAATTTCTAAAAAGTATTTCAATTTTAATTTCATATCGAATTTTTGTATATTTTATTACATGTTCAAATCGTACCTTTTTTTTTCACTCACTTCATAATTCTCAGGAAATATTGATCTCAATAAAACCGAAATCAAGAGGAAATTAACCAATTTATTTAAATTTAGCCTTCAAACCAAACTGGTCAATGTTTATTTGAGTATGAAAAAGTAAAAAAATATGTGAATCCTATACTCTTCTTAGTTCTTACTGATCAGAAACTAACAGGAAGTTGCTACTTAACTTAAAAAATTTATAAGAAAACCCCAAACCTCAAATTTGTTTTCCAGATTCTGAGAGAGAGAGACTGAGAGAGGTTTAGAAGGAAGAGAGACCTGCAAGCTGTCTAAACTTCTCGTAAGAGACCCAAAACACGAACTGCCACGGTCCAAGCCTTGCCCATGTCGGGAAAAAACCTTTCCACAATGCTCTTATTCCTTCAAACCTAACCGTCTTCACCAAACACTCGTAAGAATTTCTGTACACAGCTTTCTCACCCTGGTTCATCATCCTCGTCTTCACCACATCAGCCGGACAACTCAGAGTTGTGGAAGCAAGACCCGACATTATAGATGCAAGAGTGTGCGCATAAATGTTATCTCCAGAGATCTTTTTCTCGATGACAAAGTGTTTGGCATGATCATAGCAAGCTAGTTCACCCATATTCACTAGAAATGCTCTCTGGATGTTTGGAAGAACACCTTTCCATAGCCCTTTTACTCCCTCTGCTTGTAGGATTTTAGTGAAAGCTTCGATTGGTCCCGAGTATCTCGGTTTCAGGCCTTGGCTAACCAACCTACCATCTGCTTGCATTCTCACTTTGACCAAATCAGCTGGGCTAGCCACTACCTGCATTTCTAGTATGAACACAAAAGGAAGCCTTTTAACTCTGGTGTAGAATAGGTAACACTCAAATATTAATTAATCCTAAAGATATAAACAAACTAGAAGATCTCTCTGCATTGATTGGATTAAGGATAATTTATTTTTAAAAAGTAGCAGGAAACAACAAGCAAGCAAATATTTTGGAGCAAGGATCTGTGAAACATGTTGAGCAACCCAAGATCTACATGAAATTCTCATCTCTAAACCAACCTAAAATTGGATGAACACAGAAACGCCTAAAAATGAAGAAATTTGGGACAAAATCTCTTTCATTTCTTCTTCTAGGGAGCCTTTTCAGTGGAAACGACTAAACACAGAGATCGATTGTTCTTCTATTCAAATTCCTAAATCTACTGTTAGCAACTTTTAGGCTGTTAAGCAAATCAGTTTATCCAAAGTGGCTTAAATCCAGATCCAAATTAACAGTCAATAGGTACAGATTCTGAACAAAAACTCTTAATAATTTATAGATGAAGAAACGTCATTACCTGAGCCATAACACCAGAAATCCCTCCGACGAGAGCTTTTGTGGCGAGAGAAAGAGACTCGCTGTTGTTACCTTCAGATCGGACTATGAAGCCCTTCAAATTCTCGTATCCAATGATTCTGATAGGCGTGTAGAACAGGTGCCTGATAATCGCCGGAGATAGACCTTTATAGAAACCCATCATCCCTTCCTGCCTACCAATCTCCGACACGACTCCGATAGCGCCAATCCGGTGCGAACCATGGAGCTGCATTCTGGTTTTTGTGAGATCAATTGGAAACGTAACTGTCTCTGCGACCATTGCAGATAGTGACGCAAGCAAGATCCTGGTTCGGGTCGGTGCTTCTCCGGCCACTCTGCTTCGCTCCATTTTCATCGGCTGAGTAACTCGGTGACAGTGAGCATCACACAATATTGACGACCAAAAGAAAGGATTCCACTAAACGACGTCGTTTATATTGTACCTCACGGCGTCGTTTCATGATCTTAGATTTCTTTTTATGTCATTAGTATAACGTTTAGTATTATAGGGTAAAAAAAATATAAATGTTACACTGTCACTGATGTACATCGAATGTTGCCATTTTCATTATTGACTAATCATTGTAATCAACATACATTCGATGAAACAAACAAAAAAACTTATTATCTAAAAATTTTCTCCTTTATTTTAATTTAGGATTTTTTTCTCTTCTTTAAGTTTTGATCGTGTCGTTTTGTCTAATATTACGCATGCTTGCGAATTATAATTCATCGTGGGCTTAAGAAAACTTGAGCATTTAGTCTTATGTGCCCATGTTCACTCATTTTAAAATATATCTTTTTTCATTAGAGATAACATGCCAATGTGGCGAAAGATTGAGTAGACAACATTACGTTTTCAGCTCCTCCCATTTCCTATCTCTCTAATAAATTTCACGAAAAAAAAAAAACAAAAATCAAAATGAGCTCCTTCACCACGAAAACTCCGCCACCGTATCTCCGCCGGCCAAATTACCATCGCCGCGTAAACCTACCATTCTCCGTGATATGCAGCGCCGGAAAATCCCAACAAGACAGCTTCACTCGCCGGAGAACCCTGATGACCTCGCTTATAACATTCACGGGCATTGGCGCAGCCACGTCATCAGCATTAGCACAGGAGAAATGGGGAACGAGGTCTTTCATTAAGGAGAAATATTTTCAGCCGGGGCTATCGCCGGAGGATGCGGCGGCGCGTATAAAACAGACGGCAGAAGGATTAAGAGACATGAGGGAGATGTTGGATCACATGTCGTGGAGGTATGTTATATTCTACATAAGACTGAAACAGGCTTATCTGTCTCAGGATCTGACCAACGCCATGAACATCTTACCGGAGAATCGCCGGAATGATTACGTTCAGGCCGCAAATCAGCTAGTTGAAAACATGAGTGAGGTATAAGTTTATCAATGAGTTATTTGATTTGTTTGATTAATGCATGCTAATTATGAATTTGATTGTTAATTACTAACGCGATTTCTTTTGCAAACGAATTGTTTGAAATTTACAGTTTTTACAAACATTATTTTTAAAAAAAAAAAAAGTTTGGCAAAAAAAAAAGTAAAAGTACTGGTATGTTTTCTAAATATGGTTGAGGTAGATGTAAAATTGATTAAATATTGATAATTTGAATATAAATGTGAGAACAAAATTTTGTTTTGGATTCACATGTTAAAAACAAAGATAATAAAAACTAAAATGGTGCGTTTTGTTTTAATGAAATGGAACACAGGAACAAATGAAAGTCAAAACTACAAATCACATGATATATTTCATATTTTCATATATTTTTGTCAATGTTTGATCATAAGATTTTTGTTACATGTCTTTGACGCAATGTAGTTGGATTTTTACGTGCGGACGCCAAAGGTGTACGAGTCGTATCTCTACTACGAGAAGACATTGAAATCGATAGATAACGTGGTGGAGCTTCTTGCTTAATTGTATTTGTAATTGTACATATATCTCTCTCTCTTGTCACATGAGATCTCTGGACTCATTACATTACATTACAATACCTTAATCAGCTTCGAGGCACATTTCAGCCCGATGAAAAATCAGATCGATATATGTGTGCATATATAGATATCTTAATGGCGTGAGAGGGAGATAGCGGAGCTAATAACAATAAGCATGAGAAAGATCAATGCGCAGAAAGAACCGATGAGAGATCCGGAGATGCGTTTGCAGAATCCGTCAAATTGCTGGCAAATCGGCGGCCAATTAGCGGTTGTGTTTCCCTCGTGAGCTAAATATACGGTGGCTGTTGCTGCCGATGCACCAGAGCTCACCAAAGCCACCATCACCTTATTATAAGAATCAATAAAAATCCCAACATTTTGAGTGATCGGCTCATTGGATACAAAAATTTACATATGGGTTGACTCGTGTCACAAGTTATTGTCTTGTGTTACAATTTAGTTTGCCCTGTTTATGGTTATCTTCTATTATCCTATAATCTTACATTTCACTTAGTGTTCTAAATATCAGTCAAGGTGCTGTTTTAGGTCCACTAAATGCTATAATCGACATATAAATTTATATTTGTTCAAGGTATTAATGCATATTACTTTCAGCTACATATAAAATTTAAGATTATGAAAGGTAGGCGTTTACCGTGTCGATGACGAGCAAGATGATTCTTGAGGTTTTAGCTTTACTACTGATGATATGAAAGATACTCACAGGTAGAGAAAGAATCAAATAACCGCCAGCAACTGCGTTTGCAACCACGAAAAACCTATGAAACAGAGCAATATGGGTTATCTATTATTCACAATCATGGCAAAATATATCAAATTAACGTAATTGACCATTGAATCTCTTTACATGAGCGTTGGTAAGTCGCTGTATTTAGCCTTGAGGAGTATAAGCTGAGTGAAAGAGACTACTGATTCGTGTGTTGTTCCCATGGCGAGTGCGCTTCCTATAGTTCCAAAAACAGCAAATAACCGCAGAAAAAATCCAATTGTTGATATTCCTTTCTTTATAACCACCTTTGGCTCCAGATTTATTACTTTTCTAGATGATGTGGAAGATTCCCCAGCTTCAATTTGCTTTTCTTCAATTTGCTTTTCTTCAATATGCTTTTCTTCTTCCATTTTTTTTTCTTTGTGTGACTGTTACACAAAAGTGTCTGCCTGCCAATTTATATGGATATCTAGAGTGTAAGTAAATTCAAGAAGTGGTTAAGACTTTTGAATAGTTGATTATAATGAAGAATATAAGAAAAATTGTAAAGCATAAGTCTAGTGTTCATATAAAGACAAAGAATTTAGGTTTTGCTGAGGACATACGATGAGCAAAGATTATCTTGTTATCAAGTGTTTATCCTCTCCTTACCTGCTCTAATTTCTTACATCCAACAACAACCAAGAGGAATCCTCTTCTTGGCACTATATTCATGTCCTTACTTAATACTTATTACCCTGGTGTGTTGAATAATTTGACTTTAAATTCTCTGAGAATGATAAAAACTTTTTGATTCACAGACAAAACTTGAACCAGTGAAATAGGAGCAAAAGTCAAAAAAAATATCCGGAAGATCGAGGTATAAATCTCAAACACAGTAAAAGAAAGTTAAAAAAAATAGAGGCTTCATAGCGATTGGATGGTGTTTTAATGCTTTGTCTTCATAGGCGATTGTTTAAGGTGAAAAGTGTCAAACGATTATTTAGTTTGTCCCACATCGATAACTAGAGAGACTTTAGTCATAAGCTTTTGTGTATAAAAAGGAAACTGAGCCACACTTCCAATTCATACCTTTCTCGGCCTTTTGGCTAAGATCAAGTGTAGTATCTGTTCTTATCAGTTTAATATCTGATATGTGGGCCATCGGCCCACACGATATTAACTCTATTTTTTTAGGGAGAAAACCCACTAAGATAGCTTGCTATCTGGGTTTTCGCGAGTCGCCCATGCGTTGCACTACTGCAAGGGCCTGGCTCGGCCCACCAACTTCAAAGTTCTGAGTTTATAATTTCAAAAAATACATTGAATTTATAAGTATCTTAAATTAAAAATGAAGACCATTTAAATTGATTTGTAATTTAGGTTCGATGAAAAATTGTTTAACTGGGCTGACTCTGAAATGGGTCCTTACAACAACATTGGAATATTTCTTTTGCTGTTAGATAGAAAAATCTTTATAAGAGAAGGAAAGAAACGAGTAATGTCCAACATCGACCTTAATAGTTTACTATTAGAGTGAAGAAAATTATGAAGAATACAAGACCAACTAGACCCATAACATAAAGAATGAATGAAAGTGATATCATCACAATTCAGCCCCATTATTCAATTCTAAAAAGGAGTAATTTCTTTCTAAACTAGTGTGTCGTTTTTGACCAAGAGTGGTGAGTTTGTCATTAAATAGCTGGTGCCATGTTTGTTTGTAAAATAGCCTATTTGATCGTACGGAGGATTGAGTAATATACTTTTATGTGATGCAATAGGGAAATGTTGGTTACCAAAAGTAGATTGAAATTACTCGTGAAAGTTCAAACAATATAGTCCAAAGTAGAAATTAAAGATGAATAAGAACACCCCTCGGGTTTACATTTCTCTTATTTGAACTGCATAAACAACATTTTTCTTTCTACAAGTAACATATATTTGTAAAAAAAATTGCATCAACTTATATTTTATGAAACTGATGAACACACTCTCAATTTACTTTGGTCTTGAATAGAAGAGAAAACCATAAAGCATTACCTTTCTAAGATGCTTTTTTTCTCGATTTAAGAAACGTGGTTTCTTCTCTTGGAATTCGAATTCTGCAACAACATATCATATACGCTTAAGTGGAATATCTTGATTGATTGATGGAATATCTCAAATCTTGTGGAGCAGTACGTACCAGTTTACTATAGTCGTGATCTTTAGAACCATCGCGTTTGGGGTATTTGGCTTTGCTCGAACTTTCGGTAACTTGAGAGAAATATGGAAAAGACGTTGGCAGCAAGACAAGTCCATGATCCATGTTGAAAGAGTTAGCTCTCAGTCGCAAAACTACTTGCGTAAGAGCTTTCATAGCTGCATCAGGGTTTCCTGTAATCTGACCACAACAAAATGGAATAGTTGCTTAGTTTTCTTACAGCAAAAACGAGTCAATCCGAGTATGTCTTTTAAGGGATTAATACTAACCTGAACCATTTCTTCATCTTCACGCGCAATTTTTGGTACATTTTCTTTTTGGAGGATACGGATATTTGCTCGTGTTACACTCCTCATCTCTGATATAACAGCTCCACCTTTTCCAATGACACACCCGATTTGGGAACTCGGCACAAGTAAACGAGTGGATATTGCTGAATCATTTGAATCTTTGCCCACTTTCTCACTGCATCGAACTTGCAAGCGTATTGCTGCATTCACGGCTGGAGATGGATCTTCGTAAAACTACATACCAAACAAAAAGTCAGTAAAAAAGATTAGCAAGTTCAAGATAATGAAAACATTGTATGGGATGATAAGAGATTAGCATTACCTCTTTTGATGATATGAAGATTATGGAATCCTCTTCATTAGTTTCCGAGGTATTGACTCTAATCGTTGCACCAGTTTCTTGCCTGATCTGATTAATAAAACCACCACCTTTTCCTATTACACCTCCAACATTTTCAGCCGGACAGATGAAGCAAACGCAAAACTCCCTCGCATCAGCTATGTCTCTATGCATAGCGTAGTTTCTGTGAGAGCTCGTTAATGCTGCAGACATTAACATTCCACCAGGTTGATGCATGGAGCTTGAAGAAGTCAGGAGTGAGTGTTGAAATCGCGACGGATTATCATGAAGCAGTGAAGCAACTTGATACAGAGCCTCTCTAACAACCAAAGGTTCTCCAATTATCTGAAAAAATGAAGTAACACAATCAGGACTTTGTTCTTTTAATCATAATTAGAATCTAAGACTTGAGAGTGTAATCACCTGAAGAAGCTCATCATGACTCAAAGTCAAAGCACAAGCGGGTAGCTTATCTTTGATGACACGAATCTGAGCATTGGTTTCGTTACGCAGATTCTGAATAACTTGCCCGCCTTTCCCAATAACGCAACCAATTTGGTCTGAGGGCACAAGCATCCTCACAGTAACCGTTTGTTTTTCACTAAGATCATCATCTTCATCATCGTCATCATCAGCAGCAGCAGCATCAATCTCTGTCACAATCATGTCATGAACCTTGAAAAGAGCATCTAAAGCAGGACAAACAAGTTCTCCATCCTCCCCAAAATGATTTAACTCCTCACTAGTAGAATATATGGTAACAACACGCTCCTCACAACCAGGTAAAGCCTCGTTGATCCTCATGTTTGATTTTGTCTCAGACCTTATCTGCTTTGCGATCTCACCACCTTTCCCGATAATGCTTCCCGTCTTTTTCACGGGGCACAAGTAACGATACACAGTGTCCTCAGATCCAATGACATTGTGATCTGTATCATCATGAAGATTTCTTCTCTTACTTCCTCCATTTCCAGTAAACTCAGATTGGAAATTAGATCTCTTACCATGGATGTTCCTCAGAGTACTTGCCATTTCAAACAAAAAATACTCTGAATCGCAATGCCACAGGAACCTGGACAAAAATTATAAGAATCAAATTCTAAGTTAGAGCTTCTTATTGTTCATATGATCCTCTCTATATCAACAAATACTGAAGAAATACGAAAAACAGAGCTGTAAGAGTATCGTCGCGAGTTCTAAATCCAGGTCAAAAGGGAGATGATAAAATTCAACTATAATGATCAGATCTTAGTTCTTAAATTGGAAAGGTAACTTTTACTCACACAGTTACTAAACGTGTAGCAGAATAATCATAATCCATAACTCCGATCAACAGAAATTTCCATAATCTGGAAAACCTCAAATACGAAATATAAACATTGCTTCTCCAAGGAAAATCTACCTAACTATACGTAGAGAGGCCAAATGTTGAGATATATACACATTGACTTCATTGGTCAACTATGCTAAAATTGGGAAACAAAATTACTCGCGAAACAAACATTCAGATCAAATCTCTCCTCAAAAACGAGCTCTACATCAAAATTGAGCCACGAAAACCATCGGAATCTTACGAATTCGACCGATCAATATCCATGACGCATCACCGACCAATATAGCTATTTTACACGAATTCGATTCCACCAACATTCATCCAACCAGAACTTTGAACATGCAATACTTACCGGAGAATAATCAGTAAATGATCGGAGCTCTTGCCGGAAAATGTGCCCGCCACTCCGCTTATCTCTTCGCCTTCTGCTTCTATGTTTTTTTTTTTTTGGCCTTTTGGGTTTGAAAGCAGAGAAATGCAAGTATTTGGGGCTAACGTCTATTAATATAAATATCTGGAGGTAAAGCGTGACAGATGGCTTTTTTAGTTAATCTCTTCGAACTGTTCTTCGGGACGTGACGGCACGTAATGTAAGTATAAATGTAACTCATATACGTATTAAAATACATGTGCCTGAATATATTTTTTTTAAAAAACTGATGAATATATATCTACCGTTCTCGGAAGATACATGGATACATGCAAAATGCAAAAGTGGAAGCAGAAAATTGGAGAGTTGCAAACCAACCTGAGGACAACGACGATGCTCAAGTTGAGGAAGTAGGCCTTCCACCGGACACCATTGCGATTCCCGAGGTATCGTAAATCCCAATATGCCGGATTGACGCCTCGTGGATCAATCACGGACAGGTTAGCGACCTTGTTGGAGCTTTGTGGATGGCAGAGGATTTGAACTGTTTGGACTTCAGGGATGCCGTAGAAGCCTCTCGGTCCTCCATGCCAAGATGGATTGCCTCCTCTGGGCTATGTCTTGCTTGAGAGAGAGACGGATACTTTCAGTCTACTTTCAATCCGACTGTTCGGATCTGGTGCGTATGACTGAGGTTCCACCTGATTGGCCGTCCTTTAATGCAGAGCTAGATACCTTCCACCTCTTTTAAGAGAGCTTTTCAGAGTGCATTTTATCTCATATTTCGAGGGATCTAAATGTTCGGGCGGATAGTCTTGCGAAAGGAACTTGAGCAAGAGGCGTTATCTTTTTCCAAATCGATCATAACGAGCTCACCAATTGTGGTCTACGAATCACTAATACGACGGGCTAAATATGATTATACTAGATAGATAATGGAAACAATATATATATATATATCTACCGTTTTCGAGGATTATGACGGGATAATTAGTATGGCTTCTTAAAGATATTATGATATTAGTAATCGTTTACTTTTATAAGATTACTGATTATATCGACACATAAACAAATGTCTAAATCTTTATTATCACCAACTACATTGAAAATTAATTTTCAACCATCATAATAGTTGGTGAACTAATATTTTTTAACTGCTAACGACGACATACATGTTGTCAAGAAAATATAGGAATTTTTATTTTAGCTTGTAAATGTAGGAGTGATCAATTTTAGTGTCGTTTATAACTTGAAACTTTTGATCAAGTACCACTAAATAATAATATTGAGTGACTAAAACTAAATTGTTATGACTTAAAATTTTCATATTCCACTTGTGTCTGGTGGCATAGGATTATTGTGTAGCTGTTGATTATACATTTCTTGAAACATAATTACCCAACCTGTCTGAATTAGTCTTTGTTCAGCATGTGCCAGATTGAATACATTTGTATTTATAAAATATAAAGAATAGCAAAGAAATTAATATCTGTTTATAAATAGTGAGAAACTAGTCTTTCATTATCTTTATTAATCCAATTGATAGGCTGTATAAAACTAGTCGGTAAATATGCATATAAATTTGATAGTCAACGTCTTAATACCCAATGGAGTCTCGATGCTCAATACAGGCGGCAATCATCCTTCTGAAGCAGCCCATGTATATCGAATTATCGAGATATGATTTGAGAGATATATAACTTGTTTTTGTTTTTCAGATTTGGTTAAACTATTCATTAACTCAATAATAGCTGAATTATTGGAAAAAATGTATATCAGTATATGCGTACGTTACTGTTCATCATGTTGACGGCTTTTAGTTTCTGAGCAGACGTATATATTTTCGGAACCATCACCATCTAAAATTATATAAACTTTTTTTTTTTTATTTTAAAATCTGTCGGCCAAGAATAATACTAGTATTGTTTGGACTTGTATTTAATTTCTCTTCTTTCAATGAAAAACGTTTCTAAAAAAGACTTTTGTAAATGTTGAGAACATTTTTGTATTTTTCAGAAACTTTTTGTCAAAATTTGAAGCTTTAAATTCATTAATTTGCCTAATAGTTTTTTGTTCTGTTGTTCCCAAAGAACTATTTGTCTACAAACTTACAATACGTTTCTGATATTACATGCCAAAAAAAAAGTTTGTTAAACAAAAGTTTCTCCAATTTTTCGTGACCTTAATAAAATTGAGAAACTCCTATGAAAAAAGAGTATGGTAGTATTCAGTAGTTACCATGCCAAACAGCCCACATAAAGGTATTTCGTCAAAAAAAATTTGAAAATTTTGAAAGTACTCAAAGTTGAAAATAAGAAGAGATTGAAAGAGACTAACCTAATTCACCTAATTTTTGTAGTAGAAGGAATAATCAAACAAGCGAGTTCACTTAAAAAAAAAAAGAGAATTGTAAATTTAAGACACATTTTACAAACAATTGTCCTTATAAGATTTTTTTGACTTTTATCACTTTTAGACTTAATTACCCTTTAATTAAGGATTACATTAAATTCAGAAATTAGAATTTAATGTTTAATTTTTTAAAAAAAAATTCGAAAATGCCAAATAAAGAAATAAACTAATTACCAAAAATCAGTTATGGAAAGTTTTAATTTTTAAAAAATTATTCTACACGACACATAGAAAACGTATTCTACATTCTTTGGTTTTATAGAATATGATTTCTAGACATTCGTCTACAATCTAAAACCTAGAATCAATGTTCTACATATTCTTCTTTATTCTACTAGTTGTATGGAATATGTATTCTAAAGACTCTTCATCGTTCTACAGATTCTAGAATATATTTTCTATACTTTTCATTACGTTCTATATTTTACTAGGATGTGCATTCTAGTAATCATTCTTTGTTCAACGTAATCTAGAACCTATATTCCATTAAGTCGTTAACAGAATCTGAGAAAATCTAGTATTCATGTACTTATCCACCAAACTAAATATTTTCCAAATATTTCCTTTCCAAATATTTACTTTCTTTTTTTCCATGTTTTATTTTCTCTTCCACAACGTTTATTTTTCTTCTCTGCTTTGCTCTTTTCGCTATCTTCGCACACTTTGATGAAAGACAATCTCTTCTTCAACAAATCGGCTAGCTTCAAATCTTAATACCAAATCAATGGAGCTCACTCGGCTCAGTAATTTCCATAAATATTAGAAACAGAAAATATATGTACATAGTTATTTTAGGTTTCTACGACTTTAAATCCACATATCCGTTATCAAACATATCTGTTATCAAACACCGGAACTGCGATGCAGGTGATCTGGACTTCAACTTTAATCCTGATCACCGAAAATATATCGTCTTTATGATTTGACAATGCTTTAGAAAATTGTGTAAGTAAAAGAATGGACAAATTTTTCACTATGTAGTTTTTACACACAAGAACAGTACACAAACACGATTACAAGCCATCGAATACATCAGAAAGAATGTTTACACTTTACAATTGATAACTCTTGAAATTTCGATTTGCAATTCCAGTGGCTCTGTATTAAGCAGTACTTTCTTCTGCTTGAAGAATATCTTCTCATCTCTTTGGCTTTCTTGTGAATCACTGCAACCTTATTCTTCATCTTCTCTGCTTACTATGCTTTCTTCTTCTCTAGTTGCTCCTGCAATTCAAACACACGCCAGAAACATTTTAACTTCTCAATGAAAAACTTGGACTGAACAGAGAAGTAAAATAGCTGATTGATTCCACTGATGGAGCTCACGATGGGATTGATTTTTTTCTTGAATTAGACGAACTTGGACTTGTAAGAATGTGCATAAAGTCCCATATTCATAAAGCAAAACCTTGGCAGAGTAAGATTATGGATGAACAAAACCTAACGCAAATCCGTAAAAAGACAAGTATTAGGAGTTTACAGATCTGTAGCAATAGTTATGGAGTGGGTGAGCTTAGCTGAGTTCGAGAATCTCAGAGAAAACATCTTTGTTATGACAATGACAATCTCAAAATAAATTAATAACAACAATTGGAAAACCTACACACTGGTCAGTGGGACAAATGGTCGAACACCTGGTGAGCATTGGTGATATGGCTTTACAAAATGAAGAAGAAACAGTTTACACCGTGAGGAAAATAGTAATTTCACGCCAAAATGAAACTAGCAGCACACACAAAGTAAGAAACGCTGAACAAATAAAGGTAAGTATATGTATGTGTCGATGGGTCGTATACATATGGGTGATTCGAAACCTTAGAATCTAGAAGTCGTCTTCAACCCCAACGAATAATTTGTTCGTGTGTTTCTTGGAGACTAGAATTTTTCCTGGTTTATTCCTCCCCAACTAATAATCGGTTTGTGCACAGATTTTATAATCAAAACAGTTTTGTTTTTTAATTGTTTCTCTTTTTACTGAAATTAAGAAAATGTATAAAAATATATAAAAAATTATTAGAATGAAAATTTAAGGGTAATTTTGGGTTTTAAATAAAATAAATCTTAGGAGGACAATGTCTAGGATAATAAATCATAAAATGACAAAAGATTTGAGAAATTGTCCTAAATTTCTAATTATCTCTAAAAAAATAATCAAACAAGCTGCGCAGCTGTGAATCTGTAATCCTTCATTAATTCCAAATAGATAAAAAACAAATTTGAATAATCCAATTAGAAATTTGATTGACCATTTTAACTTTTAAGTGCATGTCTGTCTCTTGATAAAAATATAGAAGAAATAGTATAGTTATTCAATGCATATATAAATGTAGTAGTATTAATTATCTTGACTAAAATTCAATGAATTCATTTTTCATCCAAAATCAAAATGCATTCAACTTTTGAATCACATTAATTACTGATTTTGACACAGTACATATAAAAGAGTCTTTTCTCCTTTGAAATTTACTCCATTCAGTCAAAGATAAAACAAAGAAAAGGTAAAGCTATATACAAAAACAGAACAGTAAAGAAGAAGAAGTGTCTCCCCATTTCCAATAAATTAGGGTTTTTTTTTATACTTTTTTTTCGATCGAATTCGCGGCAAGTAGGATCAATTTCTTCCGACAGCAATAGTCTTCTTCCTGTTTTTTCTCTACGAGTTTCGAAGGAGTAAGCCACTTTACTCTATTCATCTCTGCACATCTTCTAACGGATTCCATTGTCATTGTAAATTCATAATGCATTTGCAATGAAAATCTCTTGGTGTAGAATCTCGACATTGTGAGCTATTCTTCTCTCTTTGAGCTTCTTCGTGAAGAAAAAAGAAAGCATTTCGAAAACTAAAGGTCAGATCTTGCTAGTCGTAGGATGAGTGAGAGATTACTGTGTGGGTGGATTAATCCAGTTTCCAGATTCGTTTTTTTGTTCTTTTTGATTTGTTTTTTTTTTAAATGTAAATTGCTTCTGTGTGGTGTTAATCTATTGAGAACTATGTTAATCTTTATTATCTCTCTGAGTAAAGCTTTGGTACAATGTGAATTCGTAAAGTCCTGAGTAATGTTTGTTTTGATGATTGAAAGTTTGAAACTTTGGTGCTATTTGATTACTCAGGTCTGCTAAGCTAAAGACAAGGAAAAATCCGGATTCAAAAATGTTTCTTCGAAATCTGACTCATAGTTTATGGAGTTGGAGAGGTGTGAAAGCTTGATTTGGAGAGTCTTCAGACATATTGAAAGAGAAAACTTTTGTAAGCTTGAGGGTGTTTTTTTAGCCAAAGGGTCTTATCTAGTGGAATTAGCTAAAGATGGGTTCGCTCTGTTGTGTTGCTGCCAAGTCAGATAGATCAAATTCTGCAAGTCGTGATTTTTCGTTTGGCCCGCATGAACCTTATTGGAGGACTAATACAAGTTTCTCTCCACCTTCATCGAGATGGGATGTCCATGGATTACTTGACGGTGTTAGCTTTTATGGATCTTCCACATCATCAAATGCTAATGTTCTTCGTAGTCCCGACCTTTCTCAGGCACTTCACTGGACACCTAATGCTTATGAATCTGCAACAAGAAGAGGTTTGTTACACTAAAAATCTTCTCTTTTTTATCTATCCGTCTTCCAAATTTTCTGTGCTAACTCAAGATTTAGTTACATTTTGTTGTATCCTCTTTCCTTGTTTGATGAGTGTTTCTTTGTATTTTCTTCATTTCTCTCTGCAGATCAGATTCTTAAGCAACTACCGGGTACATCAAGAAATATCGGTATCGGTGACTCTGAACCAAACCGCAACTTCTCAAGCCGGCGATTTTTCCTGTCTAAGCCGGTTCATCCAATACTGCATCATCCATCTGATAATGGTAGAGAAACAACATCCAATTCTGCGGATGCCTGCAGTTGGAGCAGCGGGACAACAAGCAGCATTGATTCTGTGGATATTCCCGAGCCAGTTCTTGATTTGGATCATAACTCTGCCAAAGCACAACAAGTCGCTTCAAGTACATATAAATGCGGATTGTGTAACAGACACATCTCACAGAGATCTCCTTGGGGATCTAGGTCCATCTTAAGAAACCGAGACATGCCCGTCACAGGAGTGCTTCCATGTCAACACGTCTTTCACGCAGAATGTCTTGACCAATCAACTCCAAAGGCTCAACGCAATCACCCACCTTGTCCAATTTGCAGTTCCGTGCGTAGGGGCTTGAGGCGAACTTAAACAACATAACTCTTTTATATACTAATTTTTAGTGATGGTTATGATATAATTTTGAAGACTTTTGAGATATTTGTGCATGCATTTTGATATAATTACATTGAGATGTCGTTGGTTTTCCCACAAAATTTTCTTAGACTGTTAGAACATTCCAGATCACACAAATATGTCCCAAGGCTTTAAAAAAACTGGTCATCTACAAGACCATAACGATCTTACAACACTTAAATACGCTCTTATTTTTTCTCTCTTAATGATTATTACTCAAGAGATTTGGTTATGGTGTTATAGTTTCTTAGCAATTATATCGGCATTTGCATATGCGTTTTTTCCAACCAAAGATGACAGTAGGATGATCAAAACATTCGCAACGTAAATTTTCTTTTTGATGTTTCTTTTGCATGTCGTTTATGCACACATTGATTCCGTCATTGCCACATTTTCCGGGGAATTCATTTGCCAGTTCACACACTCCCGTTGTCCCAGATGCAGCTTCCCCCTCTTTTGCTATATATCATCAATGGCCACAAATCATTACTCTGTCAAAAGAAATACTCCAAGGAATATAATCTAAACAAACTGATAATTAATGCAACAAGATTGAATTTACCTTTCACATGGTGTAGAACGAGTAATATCAGAACACAAGAAACCATATACGAAGTAATTAACAAACTTCATGACTGAGAAAGAATCGTAAAAGATTGTTTTATCACTTGCTTAAACTTGTTGCTTGTTTTACCCTCGTTACAAAAATACAATCTACTTTGTCAACACTTTACTAACATTTGTTATAAATATATATTCAAGATAGGATAAAAATAGCCGTTCCAATTCAATAACGGGAAAGGGGAAAAAAAATAAAAATGAAAGGTGGAGCCTAGTCAACTAGATCGACAAGATAGTGATTCATTTTTAGAAAAAAAAAAAGATATAATTGTTAAATTAAAACTATAAAATTTATATATAACGAGATAAGGACCGCTTTGCTAATACTTCAAATTATTTTAAATAGTGAAGCGAAAAATTAAGATCCACAAACTAATTTTAAGTAAATTTTATATACAACACTTTTTTTTGTAACTTACAAGTTACAACACCAAATATCTCATAACTTCCTTCTTATTTGTTAGGAAAGTATTTTTGGTTAGAGCGATAGTCTTTCTTAGCAATCATCATTTTGACATTTGCACACACGTTCCTAAACGGACGTGATAACGGGAAAATCAGAACATTAGCAATGTAAGTTAATATCTTCTTCAATCTTCATGTAGCCTATGCATGCATTGCTTCCGTCATTGATGTGTATTTCGTTTTGAAAAATCTAAACATTGCTTTACATTTTTTAGACAATGGTGGTCGTCTCTTTTCATACTGTTATCATTTTATGAATTTAAGATTATCTCTCGTGTTGTTAGTTCTCGTTAGGCTTAATTGTTCTCTCTTTAAGAAAAGCAAAAAACAATCAACGTTGTTGCTTCATCCACTCAAAATTTTAGTTGGAACAGCAAAAGGTAAAAATCATAATTATCCAGGAACATGACTTTAAGGCATGGATATATGATTATGAAAGGGAAATTTCATAATTATGCAACAAAGAGAGCATCATGATCTCTAACCATGCGCTCCTTAGCAACAAACTTTTTTTAGTCATCTATTTGTTGACCATTTTTTTCATATCATTATGTCTACACTGTTAATGCCTTAAGAGACACAAAATCATCACTTAAGACTCACAACCTCTTCCATTATAAACCAAATACCCCCTTTTCTTCAGACAAAATTTTTGACTTTGGAATCTGAAACTTAGATTAAACATGTCTCCTCTTGTGTTTATCTTTATCATTTACATGTGCATTAATCTGTCACAAGGTATTGTACATTGCCTTCTTGTCTTGAAGCAAATATAAGCATTGGAGCTTTTTGATCACATGTTGTTTCTTTTTTTTTTTGTCTGCAGGAATGCAAATGCCTTACATGACCTCTGATCCAAAAGAAATCTCCGGCAAGTCATTCGATTACATCATCGTTGGAGGAGGAACTGCGGGATGTTCCTTAGCCGCAACTTTGTCTGAGAAATTCTCTGTTCTTGTCATTGAACGTGGTGGCTCTCCTTATGGAGATCCATTAGTAGAAGAAAGACAATACTTTGGATACTCACTGCTACAAACAGATGACTACTCATCCGTTGCGCAAAGTTTCACCTCTAGAGATGGAATCGAGAATTACAGAGGACGCGTTCTTGGTGGATCGTCTGCTATCAATGGCGGATTCTACAGCCGAGCTAGCGAAGAGTTTGTGAAGAAAGCTGGTTGGGACAAAGATCTGGTTCAAGATTCTTATAAATGGGTTGAGTCCAAGGTTGTCTTCATGCCTCAACTGACTCAATGGCAATCCGTTGTGCAGTTCGGGTTTCTTGAAGCCGGTTTTTATCCTTACAACGGGTATAACTTGGAGCACACGCAAGGGACAAAGATCGGTGGAAGCATATATGATCAGTGTGGGAAAAGGCATACATCTGCAGATCTTTTGGGACATGGCAAACCAAGTTGCATCACTGTTCTTCTAAACGCCACGGTAAAGAGTGTGATCTTTGATGGTAACAACAAGACTCGCGCGGTTGGAGTTAGGTTTATGAAGAGTGATGGGAGCTCAAGTAAGAGCTACAAGGCTCATGTTGAGAAGCATAGAGGTGAGGTTATTCTTGCAGCCGGAGCTTTAGGTAGTCCGCAGATTCTCCTCTTAAGCGGAATTGGACCCGAGAATCATCTAAGAGATTTGGACATTCCTGTGATTCTCAATCTTAAAGAAGTAGGAAGAAAAATGTCGGATAATCCAGGGATCTCTCTTCTTGTTGATAGATTCTCGCAGAACCGCACACTCGAGCCACCTCAAGTTGCAGCCATAGCAGAAGGTTACAAGTTCATACTCGAATCCGAGGTTCTTCCAACTAACTTTACCACAACAAGAATCTCAATAGCAGCGAAAATAGCGTTCCCTAAATCTAAAGGGAGGCTCAAGCTTAGCAGCACTGACCCTAGGGAGAATCCGTCAGTGAAATTCAATTACTTGGAGAGGGAGGAAGATTTGGACGCATGCTTAGAGATGGTTCTGCTTCTGCAACACGTAGCGAGGTCAGAGACTGTGACGTTTTTCTTGGGGACGCAGAATCAGGAGAAGCTTTTGGGAGGCGATGAGGAGCTTAAGAGCTTCTGTAAAGAGAATGTGAGAACTTACTATCATTACCATGGCGGTTGCGTCGTGGGATCTGTCGTGGACGAGGATTACAGAGTGAATGGTGTAAAGCGGTTAAGAGTGGTTGATGGTTCGACGTTTGAAGAATCACCAGGAACGAATCCTATGGCTACGGTTTTAATGTTGGGAAGGTATCAAGGAATCAAAATACTCAGAGAACGAGAAACAGAGAAAGATGAAGATGAGAGGATACAGAGTCCTCAAGGAAGCCCACAACAACCACAGCCTTAGTGTTTTGTGATCCCCAAGAAATCCAAATCTTTTGTTTTTGTGTTGTTTGTGGCAATGAATCATGTTCTTGAAATGAAATCATTTTTACAATTCCCGCATCAGTATTTTATTGAAATTGAAATTCATTCAGAAAAAAAAAACCAAAAAATGTGTAAACAACTTTCTACTACCAAACCTAATACTCTGTTCCGAGTCATCGTTACTTTTGTCTTCTTCTTCCTCCGACTTTTTAGCTTCCTCTTTCGCCGCCATTAACAGAGAATCCAATCCAAACGCCGACTTTCTTCACTCCTTCTCCTTCTTCAACAGGCATCTCGTACCTACACAGAGGACACGTGGCGTGAACAGCCAACCACTTCTCCACACACTTGGAGTGGAACTTGTGTTTACACGGCATCTCCGCCGCCACGTCACCTTCCGACCACTCCTCAAGACAAATCGCGCACGACCCTTCTTTTTCCTTATCTTCTCCGATCACGACACGTGGCATACTCTCCACCGATGATTTCGACGCCGGCGATCTCCCTTGTTTGCCTGAAAAGTCGCCGTTCACGAAATCTTCGGCTCCCAAAGACAATCTGATCATCACCACTCTTCCGTTCACAGGATCGATGACGATCTGCATGTGTCTCGTCGGCTGATCGGTCGATTCTTCGTTATCACCAGCTTCTCCGGCTACAGCTAAAATCAACGGTAAGAATCGAGAGAGACCTTCGCCTCCTTCCATCATTCTCTCGAACATGGCCGAAAATTCCGCGAAATCAGTCTCCGATGACATCACGCAAACACCTAAAGGAAAATCGTAAGAGGGGAAAAGGGAGTTTTTTTCCGAGGGAACGAGAAAAAGGAGCTAAATTTCCCGGGTAAAAAACTGAGAAGTAGAAGAAGAAGAAGGAGAAGATTATCGAAAAATTAGATACAAATCGGCGAAGAAAGGGTCGGAGATTATATATGTTAGCGAAAAGGTTTTACAGTAGTTCAATAGGGAACTGGCAAAAAGGAAAACGAAGGTTACAGAAGATCTAGAATCAATTTGTTTTCAGATATTTACTCTCTTTTTTTTTTAACAATTTAAATATTTAATTGTTTTATATTCCAAATCCTTATCCTCTTTGTCTCTTTCATTAATTAAAGGACAAAGAACGAAGAAAGATATTCTACTACGAAATTAATTCCAAAGGCCAATCTCCAATGCAAGTTTGGTCAAAATAAAATCGCTGGGAATTTTTAAAAATTTATGAATTTATCCTTTTTCCAAAGGTATTAAAAAATCTCAAGAGTTTCATACCTGCACAGAAGGTGTTTGATTAAATTCCGCTAAGAACATCTATCTTAAAACTCGGTGAAATCTTTCGACTTTCGATGCTTTACGAATGGTATCTCGAATGGCTGAGTTGACTCCGCTCTCTTCTGTTCAGTTCAGAGTTTCTGACATACTCGGAACTCGTCTGAAAGCTTGTGCCTTCTTTCCAATTCGAATAGCAAGTAAGTGATAGTATAATTCTTCTTCCAGGTTACTGTCCTTTTTCTTCCTTAATTGGTTCACAAATTTCGACCCTTTTATCAGATTTATCTGTAAAGCCGTTTGTGATTAATGCAAGAGGGAATTCTCGAGTCGAGAGCCCCAAAACCAGGAACCGGAGGAGCAGGAAGAAGGTAACCTTTTCTAAAGGCTGATTCATATATTTACACATAAGTTTGAAAATCCTATTTTTGCAACATTGTTTAGAGTTTCTTTCTATTTGTGGCAGTTTAACGGGACACAAACGAAACCGAGACTTTCAGTATTCTGTTCAGACAAGCAACTCTATGCTATGTTGGTAGATGACTATAACAGAAAGTGTTTGTTCTACGGTAGTACATTGCAGAAATCCATTCGTGGAGATCCCCCATGTACCGTCATTGTAAGTTCGCACACCTGAAATTTTTTAATCTGTTGTGACACCTGAAAAAGCTTGAAACTTTGATAGAGTTTAGCGACTTCAGTAGCATTTAGTCGGATTTTGCTTTAATTTTTGTGCGGCTTTTAGTATTGGTGCCATTGTCTTTTGATTCACACTTCATCATTCGCTTCACAAATTTGTTATCTTATGTGAGACAATGGTTGCATTTCGTAGAGGAGTCCTCATGAGTTCTAAATGAACAACACTAGTCTAGATGAAGTTGTTTCTGGTCACACTTTGAAGTATCATTTCTGTAGTATGGCAAGAATTAAAGGTCGGAGAAAAACGATATATTTCGCTTTTGGTTTGAATAGATTTCTTTGTTTATGTTAATGTTATTCAGGAAGCAGCGAAACGGGTTGGAGAGGAGCTCATTAAGGCTTCTATTGACCTAAAGATCAACGAGATATCATCTTATGATCGAAATGGAAATGCTCGAGGCGAAAGAATGCAAGCCTTTGAAATTGCAATTGCGCAACATGGTTTCTTACCATACTAGGTTTAACTCTCTATTCAAAGACTCTTCAAACTTATAGAAACTTCTTACCCTTCACTCTCTTATTGAAATACACAAAACACTCTCACTATCTCGTTTGTTAGGTAGCCAAAACAGAAGGCATTACACTTAGAGATTCACTAAGGGAATCTTTCTTTGTGAACTTTGGAAACTTGATCTTGGAAGCACATGATCTATCCGGAACATACGGGCACTCCACGAACTCTTTCGCGTAATTATCAAGACATATATAGATTTGGAAAAGCTGCTTCTTCCCCTTTACATCTTCATTGCATTCAATACCCGGTGCAAACCCGATCACGCACTTGATCGCGTTCTTGATCTCATCTAAACCGTAAAACCCATCATTCGGTTTGATTCCTACACAAAAAGAAACTATGATCAATCTACAGAACTTTTCCATGGATATTGTTTTTCTTCTTTTTATATACCTTTTTGTTTAAGGATGTTGAGGAGGTCGAGTTTTTGTCTGTATTTGAGATTGGTCTGGAAGTAAGAGTGTTGGTTGAAGATAGATTGGACGCACGTGCCATGCTTGTCCCACTCGTGTTCCCATAGCTTAGTCTCGTTGCTTGGACATGTCCACACTCCCCACTCTGCCCATTTCGTCTCCATTCTGCAAATTAGATCTGATACCTGTAATTTTTTTCAAGATTCAGCTTATTGAATATGTTTAAATTCAATTTTCTTGAATTTTTCTTTGGGTGTTTGACTATATGTGCGTATTAAAGAATCTTTTAAAATAATGTCACATACTGTGTTGCGTTTTAATATCTCAAATATTTTTTTTGTTAAATTTTTTGCTCAGAAGAAATTCGATTAGGCTTCACTACATCTGAAATGGGAGTATAATATAGGTGATAGATCTACATCACCTTGGAGATATTGAAGAGATTGGTTTGGTCGCAGAAGGCAGGCCAGGTGCCATTGTTGAATTGAGGCCAGAGTCCATGGATCATAAAATCCGACGTCGCTTTGCTGTTCGGTGGAGGACAGCATCCTTTTTGGCTATCGCATATTGCTCCTGGCCACTACCATATACATGTACTAAGATACGGTAAGAAAATATAAAAATGTTTTCAATACATGTATGTATTTGTTGTTGGAAACATACGTAGGTGACCCAGTAGAAGAAATTGAAGTTTGGTGCTGGTTGAGACGAAGACACGACAAGACTCTGCAAAACTAAGAAGCTTATGATGACGATTCCTCTCATTTGTTTTGCTCTCTGTGTTTCTTGGTTTTAGTTTAGTCTTCTTTTTTTTTTTTGCTTTTTCTTGGATATATTTCCGAAACAAAGGAGTAGGTCCCTTATAATCATCTGTTTATAAAAATGAATGATTCATTCCATTTTATTATTCTCAACTTGTTTCTCCACTAGTGAATATATATGACTAAAATAATGAACAGTGACCACAATAACAATCTTGAGACATTGAATATAGCACCCTTAATGATGGTATGTCATTCGGCAAGCAATTCCACGTGAAACAATTCCACGGCAAACAATATTAAGCTTAACCGGACAGGGTTTTGTATATTAAGTGAGATTTTGTAAAATGGAGTATAATATAATTGAAAGGGTTCACATATGTTTTGTAACAATAGATAAATGCGATGCCATTTTACACTCGTTCCAATTTCCTTGGAAATTTTGGATTAAACACAAATGTAATTTATGTAATGACAACGTGATATCCAAGAATAATCGTTAAGTAGACGATACGTGACGCAGCACGTCCGTTATCAAATTTAAACATCAATTTCTTCTATAGAAAATATAATAATCCTAGGAATAAAAAAATATATGTATTTGTAAGCTAATAAGAATGATGTTTGGTAGAATAAAGTCACTAACATTCAATATTGGATGTAATTTTAACTTTCAGAAGACAGTAAAAGATCAAATTCTTTGCGGCTCTGATTGAAATCAATTACGTAAGATATAGACGAAGATAATTTGATCAAATCAAGTTACATTTTTGGATCAGCCAGAGGTTTGATTAGGAGTCGAAAGTGCTCAACAGATGTGGAATACAACTTCAAATTTTCCGGATTTCAGATAGGTGGCGGAGTTTCAATTTCCCTTATAATGCCTTCGGAGCATGCCAAGGGTTTTGGACCGACCATCACTTTATATAGAAGCCAAGTCGAAGGACTGATAGAAGTGGACAGAAAAAGAAGAAGAAGAAGAAGATTAAAATCAAAAATATACCACAGGGATATCCATTCCTAATAAGTATACTTAAGTAAATTAATACATTTTGGGAGGAATAATATTAAATACACGTTTCAACATGTGAACATGTGAACCAAGTTTAAACAGTTCACACATGTATAGCCAACTAATGTACATACTAACATTTAATTATTATTCACTAATGCTTTGTAAGAAAGGGTCGAAGACTGAAATGTAGTGATCATAATTAATTATTGTTAATGATCTGTATGTCCACGATTAGCGTTAAACATGTTATACCATTATTTAATCTTCGATCTTATCTCTTTAAGGTTAGGAATATATATTAACCCTTTAACAAAAGAAAAAAGCAACATATCAAAAAAGAGTTGAACAAAGAAAAGTAAGTTATAATGGAGGAGAAGGAACGAGGAATTATAATGAGCAACCACTACTAATCCACTTCCCGTTGATACTTGCCAACAGATGATACTGGTCAATAGTTCTCTTTTCAATGATATAAATGATACTGGTCAATGGTCATTCGTACGTTAAACACCCTTGTTTAATGTTTCGTTTTGAGAATATTTGGACATTTTTTTATAAATAGCTAATTTTACATATGTATTGTGTAAAATTACCTCTGACTATATTTTTTGTGTGAAAACTAACTTTATTAGCATGGGTAAAAGACATTTGTACCTTTAGTATTAAGAGCCAAGTCGGAAGATTGATCCTAGTGGAGAGAAAAAAAAGATTGAACTCAAAATATTTACGCGGGAAATCCATTTTCTAATATGCTTAATTAATCATATTATCATAAAGAAGAAATCATATTAAACGTGCGTTACAAACATACAACATGTGAACCAAGTTCAAAATCACACCACACGTGATTTAGCTCACCGGATCAGGAAACTTTGAAAACATATTTTCTTGAAGAAACGGCATCCTTTCATAAATTTCCCACCAAAAAAATTGTTCCATCAAATTCGATAAATAAAACACTGGGCTTTTTGTTATTAAGTAACAAGTTAACAACTAACCTAAAATGACCGACCCGACCCGGCCCGACCTCACCCGAGACCGAAGGAGTAAGTGTGTAATTTTGTACAAAATACAAATTTGACTAATTGTAAAAGAAAGGCGCTTCAGTGACCAATTTCTTCTCCAGTTTCGAAAACGAAGACGAAGGGCATCGACGAGCTTCATCGGCGGCGATCTTCGACAGCCCTATCGATCTCCGATTTCAAAACTAGATTCTATACTAAGAAGAGGAAACTCCGAATTCAAAAAAAAAACGAAACTTGTTATTGGGTTTCGTATTTTTCTACCGTTTTCCATCACGTTCAGATCTCATGATTCATTGCCCGATCTCGTTTCGGTTCCGTAAACCTTGATGCACCGACCTCATGCTCGTTCCAGGTTGAAAAAAAAATCAGATATGGATCAGCTCAAGGTTCAGTCTCGACCTGGCCAACGATCATCGCCGTCGTCGACGAACACGCCCGCCAAACCCAAGTGTAAACCGGCGAGATCGACTGTCCTCATAATCATCGCTTCCATCGCTATCGCGTTGGGTTTATTAATCGTTTGCTGCTCAATTTTACTCCCGGGAAGGAACCGGAGAGTTTCGCTCCGGTACAGCGTCGTGATTGACGGCGGGAGTTCTGGGACCCGAGTTCACGTATTCGGGTTTCGGATTGAATCCGGGAAACCGGTTTTCGATTTCGGTGAGAAGAATTACGCTAGTATGAAGCTGAGTCCTGGTTTGTCTTCGTATGCTGATAATCCGGACGGAGCGAGCGTGTCAGTGGCGGAGCTTGTGGAGTTCGCGAAGGGGAGAGTTCCGAAAGGAATGTTGAAGAAGAGTGATATTAGGTTAATGGCGACTGCTGGGATGAGATTGCTTGAGATGCCTGTTCAGGAACAGATTCTCCAAGTTACTAGAAGCGTTCTTAGATCTTCTGGGTTTAAGTTTCGAGAGGAATGGGCATCTGTTATCTCAGGTTTGTTTTCGGAATCGATTCCTCATTTGATCAGATGCAATGCTACATTGTGGGAGTAAAGGAGAGTGTTTGGCTGAGATGCTCTTATAACTCTTGTTGTTTAGTATTGGGAGTGCTTTTGGTTTATGTTTCATTTTCTTCTATATTAGCTTAGTTGATTGATAGTAAACTTGCACATTTATTGGCGATTGGAAGTGCTAATCATTGGAAACTTTTGAATTTTTGTACAGGATCTGATGAAGGTATGTATGCTTGGGTTGTTGCCAATCACGCGCTAGGTTCTCTTGGAGGTGATCCGTTGCAAACAAAAGGGATTGTTGAACTCGGTGGGGCTTCTGCTCAGGTTTTGTCTCTTCCTTCCGAATTTGTCATCGATGAAATACCAACTGTGTGGTAAATGGTCGATTGAAAAAAGATGACTGTTTGTGCATGGGTTTTAGGTGACATTTGTGTCTAGTGAGCTTGTACCACGTGAGTTTTCGCGTACGATATCTTATGGAAATGTTTCATACAGTCTATACAGTCACAGCTTCCTCCACCTTGGGCAGGTAACTTCTGAGAGCAGAGTATCTGTCTTTGAGAAATTGTTTTCTTTTAAATTGATCCTTTTAAAGTTTGGTCTTTGGAAACTTTCTGTAGTTGTGCCCCTATTTGGTGCTTGTTGATCTCTGATTTTGAAATATCCTAAAAATTGTTTTGTAGAACATGCCACGAAAACAAAGGAATTTTACACTTTGTGAATGTTGAAGATGCTATTAACTTTTGTCGCCTCGCAGGATTCAGCACATGAAAAGTTATGGGAATCACTCCACAACTCAGGTTAGTTGTTGATAAATCTGTAAAGTAATCACCAGATTACTGAACTTGACATTTTGCAGAACTAATAATTGCACTTTTGAGAATAGGTAATTATAATAAGCTCCTTGCTTCTCGAAGCTCTTACTGTGTTTCAATCCTTGCAGCTGCAAACTCTACAGGGGAAGGAATAGTTACCGACCCTTGTACTCCTAAAGGATACAAACCCGACAAAAATTCACATAAGGATTCATCCGGATTAGTAGCTGAAGAAAGCCGATTTACATCATCACTTCAAGCTGCTGGTAATTTTTCAAAATGCCGATCTGCTACTTTCGCCATGTTGCAGGAAGGAAAAGGTAAAAAGCACTATCGGAATAGCTGAATATCGTTTGTCGTTTCAAGTTTCTTTGATCTCTTATGGGTTTACTTTGAATACAGAGAAATGTGCTTATAAGCATTGTTCTATTGGAGCAACATTCACACCTAAGCTTCAAGGAAGTTTTCTGGCGACAGAAAATTTCGTCCACACCTCCAAGGTATAATCCTTTGAATTTCATGTTGGTCGGCGTCAAGATATGTCTGAACTTGTGGAGAATTGTATGAACAACTCGTGTTATATGTCTGTCTTGAAACAGTTTTTTGGATTGGGAGAAAAGGATTGGCTGACTGAAATGATTTTAGCTGGAAAGAGATTCTGTGGAGACGATTGGTTGAAGTTGAAAGTGAAACATCCAACATTTAAAGACGAAAGTTTGCTTCGGTATTGTTTCTCATCAGCATATATTGTCTCAATGCTTCACGATAGTCTTGGTTTTGCTCTTGATGATCAAAGGTAAATGTTCCAGCACAAATTTAAGAACATTAGATCAGTTCAGTTTTGGGTCTCAATTTGAAATTATGTTTTTGTTTGTTTTATGCAGAATTGGGTTTGCGGATAAAGCAGGAGAAGACATACCACTAGATTGGGCATTGGGAGCTTTTATACTAAATACTGCCACAACCACTTCTGATTACAGTGGTAAATCTAGAAAAATTCCTGATTTGAGTAACGTAGCCAGTTACAAAACATGATATTAGTTACTAGTACATAAATGATACTTTTTTCAGATAAAACAAGTAAATTATCACCGTATATTTGTATTTACGTTAATTCGTGTTTAAAAAAAAATTACAGTCTTCATTGATCTCTTTTTGTGAAATAAGTTAGCTTCCCATACAAAATTGAAAACTGATTTGAATTGTATGGATTTTCTAAGTTTCTACATCATTTCTCAAACAGCTCATGTCTTATAGTTATCACACTAAAACACACAACTTCAATGAAGCAAAACAATTATTTGAAACTTTTAGAAAGCTGTAGTTATGTATTTTTCACAACGAAAAAAATACTACAGCTCAAAAACTTACATTTACTTTTACGGTTATTAATCTCTATAGTTACACTTATAATCAATTAGACTAGAATAAAATTTGATGATTATTTTTCTTGAATATACTACTTCACAAGAAGATCTCCCCTTACGGCATCTTTAGGAACACGCCTGTCGTTTGCTTGGAAACGCTTATGGTCGGCCTAAAAACCAACTCCAAGAGGTCATGAAGATAGTCATTGCTTCCAGGGAATCGACGGAACTTTGGACAGTTTCATAGTAAACGCAAACCGCAAATACAAATTTTATGACTGTAAATTTATGAAAATATTTTAATCAATGACGGTATATTATAACGTTACGACAGTTAACTGTTTAATCAATTATACAATTGTTTTTTTTGAAATTAATTAAATCAATGAAATGTCTTATTTGATTTGAACAGCAAAGATTAAAACTAAAAATTAAAAAACAGCATCCATTCATGCCCTATCAGTTTTTGTACTAAGGACATCAATCTCGTAGAAAACTCTATAAGAGATAATTATCAATCTACCCCCGAATATATGTCCAAAGATAGTAGTAATAAAACCAAAATGGACATGAAATGGTCGTCGTTAGAAATGGACCACGTTTGAATAGACATGTGTGGCTCTGTCACTTAGAAGGGCTCGTTAATCACGTGTTTGAATATGACCTCATCCCGACCCGACCCGACCCGAGTACGTATGTTAGTTGTAAGTTGTAACTTGTCAAGTTTTAAATAGGCGCTCTATAGACCCAACTTCCTCTCCACTACGACAATAAAATAAGGAGTCAAGGAGGCTGAGACTAGCGACGAGCTTCAAAGTCGACGGTCTACCAACGGACGTTTCTGAACTCCGGTTTCTCACCGGTAATAGAATCATCAGTTTCTAAAACCCTAAGACGAAGAAACTTCTAATTCACGAATACAAATTGCTATTGCGTTACGTTTTATTTTTTGGGTTTATTAAGTATACGTTAAGATGTCATTATTGTAGTATTGTCAGTTTTCCTTTATTGGCTACCTTAACGTTAATACAACGGATCTAACGCTTGTTTTCAGGTGGTAAACACAAATGAACTCGGAGATGGAGATGGAGGATCCTCTCATTGTTCAGATTCTACCCGACCACCGAACCTCGCCGCCGTCGCCGACGTACATTTTCACTAAGCCCAAGCCGAAACCCTCGAAACCGATTCTCCTGCTAATCTTCGCTTCCGTCGTTTCCTTCGCTATGACGTTAGGGATACTTTTTGTTTTCTATTCAGTTCTGTTCTCTGGATGGAATCACAGAAGCTCGTTCCGGTACAGCGTCGTGATCGATGCCGGAAGTTCTGGGACCCGAGCTCACGTGTTCCGGTACTGGCTCGAATCCTCCGGGAAACCGGTTTTCGATTTCGGTAAGGAGAATTACGCTAGCTTGAAGCTGAATCCTGGATTGTCTTCGTATGCTGATAATCCGGAAGAAGCTAGCGTGTCACTGAAGGAACTCGTGGAATTCGCCAAAGGGAGGGTTCCGAAGAGAATGTTGAAGAACAGTGACATTAGGTTGATGGCCACTGCTGGGATGAGATTGCTTCAAGAAACTGTTCAGGAACAGATTCTTGAAGTTACCAGAGGAGTTCTCAGATCTTCTGGTTTTAGGTTTCGAGACGAATGGGCATCGGTTATCTCTGGTTAGTCTTTTTGGAATCAAATCTTGCATTTGACCAAAATGTGTTTTTTTTGTTGTTGTTTTGTTTAAGATTAGGGCTAGATTGATCGCTGACTTACCAATTCCATTCTGTAAGAATACATGAAAGTGTAATTGTTTTAGATGCTCTAGTAACTACTTGTGGTAGTATTGTTGGATCTATGTTTTTATATATATATATATATATATATATGTATATATTTTTAAAAAAAAAAAAGCTTACTTGAGTCAGTGATAGTAAATGTGCCTTTATCCATAAGACACTAATTATTTAAAAAAGCATGGGAATTTTTTTACTAGGATCTGATGAAGGTATGTATGCTTGGGTTGTTGCAAATTATGCACTTGGTTCGCTTGGAGGTGATCCTCTGCAAACAACGGGGATTATTGAACTCGGTGGAGCTTCTGCGCAGGTTTAGTTTTGCTATCGAGAGAGAGTCTTTTTTTTTTTTTTTTTTTTTTGGGTTAAAAGAGATAGAGAGTCTATTTATCAGACTTAAGATTTATAAACCTCAATTGGGTGGTCGATGATGACTGTTTGTGGATTTGTTTAGGTGACATTCGTGTCAAGTGAGCCTGTGCCTCCTGAGCTCTCGCGTACGATAACCTATGGAAATGTTTCATACAAAATCTACAGTCACAGCTTCCTCCACTATGGACAGGTAACTTCTGAGAGCAGACTACTTGTCTTGGAGTGCCTGTTTTCTTTAATTCATTTTTTTTTTCAAAGTTGTTTGGAAACTTAGTGTAACTTGTCCCTATTTGCTATTTTTTTTAACCTCTGTTTTTTCTTACATTGCCTCAAAATTGTTGATCAATGCTACCAAGAAAATGGTTTTTTTTTATCATTTGTTAATTTTCAAGAAGCTATTAACTTTTGTCGCCTTTCAGGATGCAGCACAAAAAGATCATTTGGAATCACTCCAGAACTCAGGTTAGTTGTTGATAAACCGATCAAGTAATCACTTATTGTATACCTAACTTGGAAGATTTTGTAAAGTAAATTATTGCACTTTTGAGTTTAAGCAATTGTTGCAAACTACTCTACAGGGGAAGGAATAGTTACTGATCCTTGTACTCCTAAAGGATACATTCTAAACAAAAATTCACACAAGGATTCATCTGGATTCTTAGTTGAGGAATACAAACTTACAGCCTCGGTTCAAGCTGCTGGTGATTATTCAAAATGCCGATCCGCTACATTAGCAATGTTGCAGGAAGGAAAGGGTAAGAAGCATTATTAGCATAGCTGAATGTTTCAATATTCTTGAATCTCTCATGGATGCAGCTTTTGTTGTGTACAGAGAATTGTTCTTCTAAGCATTGTTCTATTGGATCAACATTCACACCTGATCTTCAAGGAAGGTTTTTAGCTACAGAAAATTTCTACTACACCTCCAAGGTATATAATCCCATGAATACATATGTTTGATCGACGTCAAGATTTGTGGAGAGTGAATTTGTTTGAAGAATATTTGGTGTTATGTTTCTGTCTGGATCAGTTTCTTGGGCTAGAAGAAAAGAATTGGCTGTCTGAAATGATTTCAGCCGGCAAGAGTTTCTGTGGAGAAGAATGGTCGACACTGAAAGCGAAATACCCAAAAACAAAAGAAAAATATTTGCGTGGATATTGCTTCTCATCAGCATATATTATCTCAATGCTTCACGATAGTCTTGGCTTTGCTCTTGATGATCAAAGGTAATTTGTCAGCTGCCACAAAATTCAATAACACTTACATATATCAATATATTAATGTCGATTTTTTAGTTGGTATCAAAAACAATATGTTTGTACGTTTTGTCTGCAGAATCAAGTTTGCAAATAAAGCAGGAGAAAAAGGCATATCACTAGACTGGGCACTGGGAGCTTTTATCCTAAATACTCCCACGGCAACTTGTGATTACTTTGCCAAATCTAGAAAAATGCTTAGCTGAAATATTAGTTTGCTATGATATATCATGTTTCCAATAAAACACGTAAGTTATGTCATGTAGATGTAATTTACGTTAAACTGTGTTTGCAACTATTGTATTTTTTCAAAATTAAGAAAAGGAAACTCTATATTGAGAACATCAAGCAATAAGATGACACCAAAAAAAAAACATCAAGCAATAATAGATTTTTGAATCAATATGAAAAGAAGAAATGGGAGGTTCCGCAAGTTACTTGATGTAAGATATATTATTTATATGAGAAATATTTGCCAGAAAACATGATGACATGGACTTGTGGATTTTGTATTAGGCCAACTTCTTCTCCACTACTAAAAAACCGAGTCTGTTTATTTTGTTTTCTCTTATTTCTGATTTATGTTTTGGTCCAGTTAACTCGAATGCAAACCACGGTCGACTTCTTGTTAGGATCGTTTATTGATATGATAAATAAAAAAACAAAAAAAAAAACAAAGGAGACTGCTGAGAGTAACGACGAGCTTCATCGATTCTCCTACTAACTTTGACTTCCGTATTGGTAATTTCCACTCTTAACAAAAAAGTTATTTGGTAAAAAAAAAAACAAAAAGTTATTTTATTTTTAATCAAATTATTGTAATTTTAAACTAAGTCATTTATTTCCAGCATAGAAGCCACCTTCCCATGATCTAATTGCCAGAATTTTGTGTTCATTTTTTTGTTAATCTAAATTATAATGTAACAAAATATAGACCTAGTATATAATGTGGATACTTATAAGTTATAATATTAAAAATATGCTTTTAAAAACCACAAATCAAGGAAATGAAAGAAATCATAGTTTTCCCCTTATACTGTATAACAAAAATCAAGTAAATACTACAAAGAAATTAATTTAAATATCATAAATCCAAATTTTCTATAATAGTTTGTTTGTCAACAAGATATAATTTTCTTATTAAGAAAACTAATTTTGTACGGTACTACTTAAGGTTTTTAAAAATATCTGTAAACAATATTTGTACATATTTAATAACATATATAAATTAAAATTAATTAAAATTACTTTTTGTTTTAAATAGTTTATCCCTCCGGTAAAAAAAATTGTAGATTATTGGTCGATATGACGTTGGGGTTATTATTTGCTCTCTATCCAATTCTATTCTCCGGATGGAATCAGAGAACAGACCCAAGCTCGTTCCGGTACAGCGTCGTCATCGATGCCGGGAGTTCTGGGTCTCGAGCTCACGTGTTTCGGTACTGGATCGAATCCGGGAAACCGGTTTTCGATTTCGGTGAGGAGAATTACGCGAGCTTGAAGCTGAATCCTGGTTTGTCTTCGTACGCTGATAATCCTCAAGGAGCGAGCGCGTCAGTGGCTGAGCTCGTGAAGTTCGCAAAGGGGAGAGTTCCGGAGGGAATGTTGAAGAAGAGTGACATTAGGTTGATGGCGACTGCTGGGATGAGATTGCTTCAAGTGAATGTTCAGGAACAGATTCTTCAAGTCACCAGAGGAGTTCTTAGATCTTCTGGGTTTAGGTTTCGAGACGAATGGGCATCGGTTATCTCTGGTTAGTCTTTTGGAATCAATTCTTTGATTTGACCAAAAATTGATTTTTTGTTTGTTTACGATTTGGGCTAGATCGATTGATCACTGACCAACTCTGTGGGAGTAACTCTTGGTGTAGTTTTGTTGGACTTTGGATCTTTGTTTTAAATTTCTCTTCTTTTTGTGTGTAAAGCTTAGTTGAGTTGATAGTAAATGTGCCTGTATCCATTAGGCGGTACTTATTTGAAATATCTTTGGGAAATTTTATCCAGGATCTGATGAAGGTATGTATGCTTGGGTTGTTGCAAATCATGCGCTTGGTTCGCTTGGAGGCGATCCTTTGCAAACGACGGGGATTGTTGAACTCGGTGGGGCTTCTGTGCAGGTTTAATATCCTCCCCTGTCAAATTTGGTATTTTTGAGACTTTCTAAGTGAATGGTCGACGATGACTGTTTGTGCATTGGTTTAGGTGACATTCGTGTCAAGTGAGCTTGTGCCTCGTGAGTTTTCTCGTACGATAACCTATGGAAATGTTTCATACAGTCTATACAGTCACAGCTTCCTCCACTATGGACAGGTAACTTCTGAGAGCAGAGTGCTTGTCTTTGAGTGCCTGTTTTCTTGGATTCATCTTTTGTTTTTTTAAGTTGTTTGGAAACTTTGGTGTAACTTGTCCCTATTTGCTGTTTATTGATTCTTACATTTCCTCAAAATTGCTGATAAATGCTACCAAGAAAATGGATATTTATCGTTTGATAATTTTCAAGAAGCTATTAACTTTTTGTCGCCTTGTAGGATGCAGCACAAGAAGAGTTTTTGGAATCACTCCGGAACTCAGGTAATCTTAAACCTACCGAACTTGAAGATTTTGTAAAGTTATATAATTGCAGTTTTGAGTTTAAGCAATTGAAACAATCTTCTCTTCCGTCAAAGCTCACACAGTTGCAAACTCTACAGGGGAAGGAATAGTTACTGATCCTTGTACTCCTAAAGGGTACATTGTCGACAAAAATTCACACAAGGACTCATCTGGATTCGTAGTTGAGGAAAACAAATTTACAGCCTCGGTTCAAGCTGCTGGTGATTATTCAAAATGCCGATCCGCTACATTAGCAATGTTGCAAGAAGGAAAGGGTAAGAAGCATTATTAGCATAGCCGAATGTCGTTTCTCGGTTTCAATATTCTTGGATCTCTCATGGATGCAGCTATTGTTAGGAAGGTTTTTGGCTACAGAAAATTTCTACTACACTTCGGAGGTATATAATCCCATGAATTCATGTTAGTCAATGTCACGATTTGTGGATAATTTGTCTGAGCATTTGGTCTTATGTTTCTTTCTGGATCAGTTTTTTGGGCTAAAAGAAAAGAATTGGCTGTCTAGAATGACTTTAGCCGGCAATAGTTTCTGCAAAGAAGAATGGTCGAAACTTAAAGTGAAATACCCAAAAACAAAAGAAAAGTATTTGCATGGATATTGCTTCTCATCAGCATATATTATCTCAATGCTTCACGATAGTCTTGGTTTTGCTCTTGATGATGAAAGGTAAATTGTTACTGCCACAAATTCAAGAACACTTATATCAATAGATGTCGTTTTTTTTGGGGTTTTCGATAAAAAGAAACTATGTTTGTTTTCTCTGCAGAATCGAGTTTGCAAATAAAGCAGGAGAAAAAGGCATATCACTAGACTGGGCACTGGGAGCTTTTATCCTAAAAACTTCTACAGCCACTTCTGATTACAGTGGCAAAGCTAGAAAAATTCTTGGCTAAAGTAACGTAGCCAATTTATTTTGAAAGTCAAGAAAAGAAAGTTCATTCGAACAGGTAATATGTTGATCGATCGAAGCCAGTAATCAATGTTCACAAAAATATACCTTTTGTTACTCTGTAGAATTTCAAAGTTTGTCTAAACTTGGAGTCTTCTGAAATAGAGATTCAGTTGTCCGTGACAAATCGTAATTCAGCGTAATTCAGAGCAGTTCATCTTTTCTATCTTTGATAAAATTTTATAGATTAAATATTATATATGCAGTTGTTATCCCAAACGTATAATAGTACTGTAATTAACATCTACATAATAAAAGTTTCATACCCTACACTCTAATACAATAAATTAGCTTTGCTGTCCAATTTATTATTATGTTTTTTTTTCTTGGGTGCATCCAAGTTATTATGTTATTATATAAAATTTATTGTTTCAAAGTTACTAATTTAATTTATCGCGACACCAACACGTAAATCCATTCGTTTTAACTAGTAAAAAAAATTCTATAATTCTAAATCAATAGTCTGATAAATATTTTTAGAATTTTATAATTTCATCAGTGTTAATGAGTAAAAAATGCATTAATATGCTAAAAAGAAATGTCCTTACGAAAGAAAAAAATAAATAAAACATCCTTCTTTAGTCAGGGGGGCCACACGAGAAGTAAAAATAAAGGAAGTAAAAGTCAATTAATATGGGTGACCATCATACCGTTTCAGCTGGTTTAATACGGGCAAAATGCCCCATATCCAACAACGTGGTTCCCCCTAGGCCTGAATTTTTCGGGAAGGATAATCCGTCCTGTTCCATACCTGTCCTGAAATTCCCGAACATTTTAAGAAAGGAATTTCTCATTCGGGTTTAAAAATAATATTTGAATGGGTAAAGGAAAGGGTATGGACTAGAATGGGATTATCTGAACTTCTTGTTGGGTAATTATATAAAGTGAAATTTTAGAAATTTTGGTTAATTGAAAATTTTTTTATAATAAATAATGAGTTTTTTCAATTTATTAACAAATAATAATTTTTTAAAAACAAAAGATTGATTTTAGTTTAATTATCCAAAATTTTCTCGTCCTTTCCCGTTCTTTTCTCGTTTTTTTCCCGATTATATTTTATTTTGGGATTGTATGGGTAATATGTTTTGATTTCCTAATTTCTCATTCCCGTCTCATACCCGTTAATTTTCCTCCCGTTATTTTGTGGGAATATTTTGGGTAGTATATTCAGATTCCCAAAATTCTTATTCCCATCCCTTATCCGTAAATTCTCATCCTAGTTCCCGAAAATTTCAGGCCTAGTTCCACCTATCAAAGGCCTATGGTTTGAAGAAACGCGCGGTTCAATTTTTTTCTATTCAAATTAGTCTTTAATAATACATTAAAAAAAATGTAGATGTATTGAATTAGAAAAACTGTTGAAGATTTTTTCTAATTTAGTAGGCTAATATTATATTACCACAGCAGAACCCCATCATTATGATTGGAAAGATTGGAATCTTCCCTCCGACCACGCTTAAATGAACCTACGTGTCTCTGTCTCATCTGTGTCGCTTAGCCATAAACATATGAATCACGATTTTTATTTTTTATTATTTTTGTGCAAAACATATGAATCACGATGCATTGACTAATATATATAAGAGTAGGTGTTTTGTAAAGTACTTAAGTTAGTAAACAACCATCGGAGACTGAGCGGAAAAACAGGAGACTGAAGTGTAGCGACGAGCTTGTCTCCGTTTATATATAATCATGTTCTAGACATAAGACCAAGAAACTTCGGACTCAGTT